AGGTACAAGGCCCTGGCTTGATGCCCAAGTATTGCTGAAAATGTTTTTTTGGTTTTTTTTCCTGTTTTTTGTTTTTGTTTTTTCCCTGAGGGTTGATGACCCACACTTGTAATTTTACTACTCAAGAGGCTGAGCTCTGAGGATCATGGGTCAAAGCCAGCCCAGGCAGGAAAGACTAGGAAACTCTTACCTCCAATTAGCCAGCAAAAGGCCAGAAGTGGAGCTATGTCTCAAGTGGTAGAGCACTAGTCTTGAGCACAAAAGCTAAAGGACAGCACCTAGCCCCTGAGTTCAAGACCTAACACTGACACACCAAAACCCTATTCAGAGACAAAAGAGGCCCTTGCCAGCTTCTCGGCACTTCTTCCTGGGGGTTCCCCAGGTATTGTGCTAGTGATTTGAAGCCATGTAAATGTGTCACTACTCCCAGGCTGGTGAACCTGGGCCTGGCCCTGCCTGGGCTCCATAGCCACCCTCCCCACCTCCACAGCGCCCTCTTCCCCTGACCTCCATGATGGTCAGGTGCCACTGCCCCGTCCCACCCAGGGTTCCTGTGTGGCCTCATCTTCGTGACTTGGCTGTCTCAGGGGTTTGTCCACTCTTCTGTATGCCTGAATTCACAGGGGTCAGGGCCTCACTGCACCCCCTTGATGAATCTGTACCTTTAGGCTCCTGAGGTTCCCTTTTCCCACCCATTGCACCACCATATCCCCGCAGGGGCTCTGCAAGGCCTCCATTGTCTCTGCTGCCTGTGTTATGAGTGGAATTTTGCCCCTCACAAGGAGCTGCAGGGGGCTGGATATAGCTCAGTGGAACACTGGCCTAGCATTGTGTGAGGCCTGGGTTTGGTGTCCGTCACCAAAGGGGGTGGGGGAAATCACATGTTGAACTCCTTGCATCTCACCCTGGTATCTAAGAATGTGACCTTTATGGAGATAGGGTAGCTAGTTCTAAATCCTTAGGATGGGACTATTCTGGAATAAGGTGAAACCCTAATCCAAGATGACTTGTGTCCTTATTTAAAAAAAAAAGTTTAACATGCACAGGTGGTTCATGCCTGTACTCCTAGCTACTCAGGAAGCTGAGACCTGGATGTTTGACCTGGATAGCAAAGTCTGTCAAACTCTATCTCCAGTTAACTAGCAAAAAGCTGGGCTGGAGATGTGGCTCAAAGTGGTAGAGCACCAGCGCGGAGCAGAAAGCCAAACAAGAGTGAGAGGACCTGAGCACAAGCCCTGAGAACACCAACAGAGAGAGGGAGAGAGAATGAAATTTGAGCATAGCCAGACTCAGTGTCATGTGAAGACTGGATTTCACTGATACAAGCCAGAGAACTATCAGAAGCTAGGAGAGAGACAAGCAATAGACAGTTCCTTTGTTGGCATCTTTAGAGTGAGCACAACCCTGCCTGCCCTTGATTCTAGACTTCTGGCCTCTGGACCATTCTTGAGAACAAGTTTCTGCTCTCTGGGTGGTTGTGCTGTTTCTTTATAGCAGCCCTAGAAAACTCCATCCAGGCATGTATGTGTGTGTGTTGCCAGTGTTGGGACTTGAAATCAGGGCCTTGTGCTCTCCCTTACCTTTTCTGCTCAAAACTAGTGCTCTACACTTGAAGCATATCACGTCTGGGGTTGTTTTGGTGGTGGTGGTAGTGGTAGTGGCGGTTAGTTAGAGATTAGAGTCTCATGGATTTTTCTGCCCAACTGGCTTCAAACTGTAATCCTCAGATCTCAGCTTCCTGTGAAGTGAGCACCAACACCTACCCAACACCTGCTGGTGGAATCTTGTAGATTATTTTCCTTGGCCTGGCTTTGAACCTTGATCTCCTGGGTCTCAGCCTCCCCACAGTAGCTAGGGTGATAGGCATGAGCCACCAGTGCCCAGCTCCCATTAATTTATTAGTTTGTTCAGATTTTTGTATATTTAAAGTTCTAACATGAGAAACTTCCAGCTAGGGAAAAGTGTAGCCTGGTCCTTGGGTGGCTGCCGCCCAGCTTCAGTGTGACCAGCACTGTGCCACTGCTGTGCGAAGTGGAAGCTAATAGATTATGCACCTGCACCCTCTCCCCTGGAAAAACTTTTTTTGGGGTTGGTCATGGGGCTTGAACTGTGGGCCTGAGTGCTGTCCCTGAGCTCTTCAGGTCAAGGCTAATGCTCTACCATTTGAGCCACAGTGTCACTTCCGGTTTTCTAGTGGTTCATTGGAGATAAGAGTCTTATGGACTTTCCTGCCTGGGCTGGCTTTGAACCTCAATCCTCAGGCCTCAGCCTCCTGAGTAGCTAGGATGACAGGAGTGAGCCACCAGCGCCCGGCCCCAGGCTGGCTTTGAACTTCTATCCTTAGGTCTCAGCCTCCTGAGTAGCTAGGATTACAGTGTGGGAGCGTGGGAGCCACCGGCGCCTAGCCTAAACACTTGCCTTTAGCATAGCCACAAAATAATTATCAGCCCTACCTGAATGAACAGTAATTTCTTAATAGAATCTACCGCCAGTGTGTGCTAGATCTTAAGAGCAGTCTCCCTTTGGAGACGTGCGTGCTCGAATCTGGGAGCCCAGTGCAGCCCTACACTGCAGGAGGCTGAGTTGTCCCTAAGGCCCTTTTCATCTGAAACTCCCTGCCCTAGCCCATGACATTATTTGTGGAAGAAACTGGGTCATTTGTTCCATTTATTTTTATGTAGGTCTGCCTTAATGTCCCCCAGCGGGGCCTCGTCATTTATCTCCAAAGCATTCTCTTTTGCTGTATATATTCTGAAGTACTTTGTGTTTTTTTGAGATTTGATTGTAAGTGGTGGCTTTCAAAAATCCTATTTTTTCTCTCTCTGTCCCTCTCTCTCTCTCTGTCATGGGGCTTGAACTTAGGGCCTGGGCACTGTCCCTTAACTTTGCTCAAGGCTGGTACTCTACCACTTTGAGCCACAGATCCACTTCCAGTTTTCTGGTGGTTAATTGGAGATAAGAGTCTCATGGACTTTCCTGTCCAGGCTGGCTTTGAACCATGATCCTCATATCTCAGCCTCCTGAGTAGCTAGGATTGCAGCCACCAGGGCCTGGTACAAAATCCTATTTTCTCATTATTTATCTTGATAAATAGGAATATATTTGGGATTTTCATTCTGGTGCCAGTATTGGGGTTGAACTCAGAGCTTGGGTGCTGTGACTTATCTTTTTGACTCAAGGCTGATCACTTGAGCCATGCCTCCACTTTCCAGCATTATGTATATTTTTGATCCTCGTGAGTATCTAGTGGTATCTCGTTGGGGTTGAAGTTAATATTTTCCTTTTTTTCTGCACTGAATTAGGAAGTTTACTGGGCTCTTAATTTTCATGCCTAGAACATGAACATGGGTTTCATGCCTTTTCTCATGTTGTGGCCAGACACACACACACACACACACACACACACACACACACACACACACACACACACACACACACACACACACACACACACACACACACACACACACACACGAGTCTTGGTCAGTGTGAGAAAATGCCAGGGACAGGGCTGGGATGTAGCACAGTGGCAAAGTATTTGCCTAGCAAGTGCAGCATCCTGGTTCAATCTCCACAACCAAAAAGAAAAGAAAGAAAATGGCAAGTTTAGAGAATAATGTACCAGCCATAGCGACAAGTCCCACCCAACACCATTTATTTCCTTTTCCAAAACAGTACCACAACTCTCTCGTAGTAAATAAACCTCAGAACAAGGCATTTAATTGACCTCATTGAGAAAAATTAGGACAATTCTCTCACTTCAAAATTCCGCCATGAACGTCCAACTGTGGCTAAAATGTAGACCCTAGAATGGAACAATTTTCATGAGCTCTTTGGGGTTCACAAAGCTGTGTGGGCCTGGTGATGGGAGAGGCCCCCGGCGGAGGCCCAGGCGGCCCTGCTCGCTGTGCTGTGAGAAGGACGCGGAGTTGTGGGCATGCTCAGAGGTCCGGGTGTCAGCGTTGCTCACCGCAGAGCCAGCAGCAGAGGGATGGGAACGAAGAGGTGAGGCAGCACGTGCCACTCCTGCGGCGGCTCCTGGCCACACCGTCCACACCCATGTCGTTCCACTCTGGTGGTACTTGGACATCTGTTGAAGGTGGTAGTGGGAGGAAGGGCTGCCACCAGGCAGGATGTAGCAGGTGACGCCCAGTGGCAGGACTGGTGTCCTCATAGCCCACGGTCCTCAGGAAGGGGCTCAGCACCAGTGGGCGGGGTGTGCTGAGGCTGGACAGGTGCCCATCTTTCTCCATGGAGTAGAGAAGATGGAAGTTCCCACACAGGAAAAGAAACAAGGTGACCCCAGAAGACTTGAGCCTCCGGAAATTTATCTATCTTAGAAAAAGCACACTAACTGGGTGCGAGTAGCTCACACCTATAATCTTAACTACTCGGGAGGCTGACATCTGAGGATCACAGTTTGAAGCCAGCCCAGGCAGGAATATCTGTGAGACTCTTATCACCAATTAATCGCCAAAAAGCTGGAAGTGGAGCTGTGGCTCTAGTGGTGAAGTGCTAGTCTAGAACAAAAAGGCTTAGAGACAGCGCTTAAACCCTGAGTTCAAGCCCCAGGATCGGGGGCTGGGAAGGTGGCTCAGTGGTAGAGCGCTTGCCTTGCATGCCTGAGGCCCTGGGTTCGATTCCTCAGTACCACATAAGCAAAAAGAAAAAAGCCGGAAGTGGCACTATGGCTCAAGTAGTAGAGCACTAGCCTTGAGCTGAAGAGCTGAGGGACAGCGCCCAGGCCCAGAGTTCAGGCCCACGACTGGACCCAAAAAACAAACAAACAAACAAGCCCCAGGATCGGCATCCACACAAAAGATTTGTGTGGATTTCAGATTTGTCTGCCATGGCTGACTCTAAACTTCCTGAATAGCTAGAATTATAGGCGCGAGCTACCAGTGGCCTGTTAATTCTTAGAAAATCTGGATTTTTGTTTAAGCTGTGATCATGTTAATGTATATTTTGGGATTTTTTTCAGCTCACTCCTGTCTACTAACATGGAAGAAGTGACCAGGCCAGTCTCTGGGGCAGAGCTGGAGGACAGCGTCCCCCACGCCCCCACCATGGAGGACCGTAAGGAAGCCACGCCACATGTCAACACCCTGCCACGGGCTGGCCCATCTACCAAGTTCTTTTTCTTTTCTCAGAGCAAGAGGTTATATTACTGGTTTTAGTTGAAAGGATAAATTGTGGCTCAGAATTTTGGAAGTGGCAGACTGTAATTTTCTAGTTTCCAGCATCACCACTGAGAAATCAGATGACATTTTTATCACAGTCCTGAATATGATCTATTTTTATTTCTTTTCCTGATTTTTCTTTTGAAAATTTCTGATGATCTGAAATTTTTCTGAGATGTCCTTGATTTGGATCTTGTGCTGGGTTCCAGGCAGCCATTCCTGTCTGAAAACTTGTTTCCCACACACAGCACCTTTCCTGGCTTGGTGGGGAGGGAGTGTCAGCACACCCCTCACCCCACCTCACCCCCTCCCCACCCCAACCTTCCATCTCCCATGGGAGGGGCTGCCCCTCAGCCCCATCTCCCTTCTCTGTCCTCCCTGCCCTGGGCTGAGACCTTTTTAAATGATTTACCAACCATTTCTGCAGAGAGGCTGAAGATCTAGAGATCAGCCCAGTAAACAACTTGATATGTTTTGCTAGAAGTTTGTAGTGATTTTTTTTTTTATGTGTACAGGCTGGTCCTGGGGCTTGAACTCAGGCCAGGCCTGGGTATTATCCCTGAGCTTTTGTGCTCAGGCTAGCAATCTACCACTTAAGCCAGAGCCCAATTTCTGGCTTTTTTTTTTTTGGTAATTAATTGGAGATAAGAGTCTCATAGACTTTACTGGCCCAGGCTGACTTTGACCCTCAATCCTTAGATCTCAGCCTCTTGAGCCGCTAGGATTGATTATAGGCATGAGTCATTGGTGCCCAGCTGCAATGATATTCTGTGAATAAATGTGTGTGCCAGTCCTGAGGCTTCAATTTAGGACCTGGGTGCTGTCTCAGCTCTTTTTGCTCAACTCTACCACAGTTCCACTTTGTTTTCTGGTGGTTAATTGAAGATAAGAGTCTTACAGACTTTCCTGTTTGTCTGGTTTTGAACCACAATCCTCAGATCTCAGCCTTCTGAGTATCTAGGATTACAGGCATGAGCTACTGACACCCGGCTTATAATGGTTGTTTGGGGTTTTTTGTTTTTGTCAGTCATGGGGCTTGAACTCTGGGCCTGGGTGCTGTCCCTGAGCTCTTCAACTCAAAGCCAGCACTCTACCACTTGAGCCACAGGGCCACTTACAGTTTTCTGGTGGTTTCATTGGTGATAAGAGTCTCACAGTCTGGTGCCAGTGGCTCACACCTGTAATCCTAGCTACTCAGGAGGCTAAGATCTGAGGATTGAAGCCAGCCTGGGTAGGAAAGTCATTCAGACTCTTAGGTACAATTAGCTACTAAAAAGCTGAAAGTGGAGCTGTGGATCAAGTGGCAGAGTGCTAGCCTTGAGTGAAAAAACTCAGGAACAGTGCCCAGGCCCTGAGTTCAAGCCCTAGGACCCAAACACATACAGATACAAAAGAAAGCAAAGCCGAAAGTATTTCAATGTCCATTTAAAATGGCAATAACAAACTGCTGCCAGTCACAATGTGTGACCTCACTGGAGGTCGCTGTGGCCTCTAGAAACTCCCCTTTATGCACAGGAAACAACACAGGGCAGGCCACCTCTCAAAAGAGTCCTGGAGACCCAAGTCCCCAGCCCACTCTGCTGTCCACTCTTGCCATCCCTTTGAGCTGCTCAGACTTAAACGTTTGGTCAGCAGTGTATTTTAACTGTGGCCTTCATTTCTAGAACATCCTGAGCAAGAGGATCCAGAGGTTGAGGTGGAAACGCTTCCCAGGGGAGCTGAGATGGCCGTGGGCCCCCGACCCTGTGGGTAATGCATCGGGGGCACAGTTGCACATTGGGGTATGGGAACAGCAGAGGTGCTGGGCTCCACAGATGGCATGAGCAGTGGCTCCTGTCTTTTTTATTCCAAGTTCAGCGAAGGAGCCGGGAGCTGACACAGAGCAGACGAAGACAAGCATCAAAGACAGAATCCAGGCGCTCCGCCTGCGCCAGACCTTGGAGCTCCTGGATGAGATGCAGGAAGAGAAGGACTTCTCCATTCAGAGGACAAGGTAAGCTGCCAGCCCAGGGTCCGGGCCTCTCCCACTGCATCCCTGGGAGCTCCACGAGGGGCAGGCCTGCCAGAGTCCACCCCACCGTGGCCCGTCAAGCCCCATGGTCATGGTGCCCTCAGCCTCAGCTCCCTTCTCCCTCCCTCAGTCTATCAAGTTCTGAGCCCTTAGCTGTGTCTGGTCCCCAGCAGGCCAGTCAGGTGTGGTGAGGCTCTCACAGGCAGCCTCCTGCCTCCTGGGTTCCTGCTGGGCCTGGTCTGCATGGTTTATGCTGCCTTCTCCCGGTAACCTGGCCGCAGCTGTGCGGGGCATGTCCCCAGTAGGGAGAGACATCCCGAACCTAGAGGAAAGGCAGCAATTCCCAGGCAGCTGGCCTGGCTCACCACGGCAGACGACAACATTCACCCTGGCCCAAGGCCATGCAGGCCTACTGCAGGGTCACGACTCTTCATTCTGAGACTGGACACACGTGCTTCTGCACGAACCCAGATGCAAATCTATTACCAGAGGAGACTGCACGCCTCATCCTCAGCACCAGTGACCGGAGGGGACTACATGTGTCCTCCTCGGCACCTTGGCTGAAGTTCATCCTCCAGTGTCCCTTAGATCTCATGCTCTGCCTTGCATTCTGTCACTTTTAGCCGAGGGAAAAGACAAATACAGAAGCTTACTTCTCCTCCAGGGCACAGGACGATGCTTTGTTCTGTTCTAGAACGTGACAAGGATCTGTGGTCCAAGTGGTCTCAGGCCTGAGCTCTTCTGAGTAGATCCAGGCAAACTCTGTTGCCCTCAGCAGCCCAGGGTTGCTGCCTCTGGGGCTCCACAGCTGACCCCTTTGGCCAGGCTTTCAGAACATTGGTGAACGAGACCCTCTGCCCTGGGTCCCACCTCTCCCACTGCCCCCTTCTACTGGCACTGGGAACTTACCCTCCCAATTCTCAATCACCTTTCCAGAGAGGAGCTGAGCGCCTGCCGCCAGCGGATGAGCCTGCTCAGCAAACAGCAGAAGAACATGGCAGCCCAGACCGCCCTGGAGAGGGAGAACAACAACATGTAGGTTGCCTGTGGGTGGGCTCGTGAGGCAGGCCCAGGGGTGACTTAGGGGCGTCAGGGGGCCTGCAGGGCTGAGAGGGCATCAGGGCCCTGGTGGGGTTTGGGGGCTGGAGGACCTGGAAGTGTCAGGGGACTTGGGGTTGTTGGGGCCCTGGGGGCCAGGGCCTGTGCCATGAGCCTCTCTGTTTACTCACTGGGCTGTGCTGTTCACGCACTGTGTTCGGGCAGGCCAGGAAGCAGGCAGCATACTCCAGCAAGGGGCACAGACAAGGCAGTGAACAAGGCTGGGCCCACGCAGCTCATGCAGGGGCAGTGCCAGCTCTAGTGGCTGTGATGGGACTGTAAACCCACTAATTCTGTGGGGTGCTGCAGCCCCATGTCCACAGAGGACCCCAGACCCGACCAGTGGCTGGGGCCACTTCTCTGCACCCACAGATGCAGTGGGGTCCCATCCACAGAGTGCCATGGTGCTCTTCCCATTGCTGAGGCCCCGCCCAAGCCACTCATAAGATAGTCACATCCAGGGACTGACCGCCGCCCTGTGGGAGGGTTTCAGGATGGAGGAGAAAGTGAGGGTTCAGAGCAGCTCAGCACAGAGGGGCCAGCCAGGGTTTGGGGGAGTGCGCTGGGGTCTTTCCTGGGTCTGAGGCCTCCAGGGCTTACTGTTCCGAGGGTGGCCCCTGGCAGCAGGAGAGAGGGGGCTCCCTGGCAAGGCCCCGCCTTGGCCCCTGCCATGGGCCATACCCTCTGCCTCTGGCCAGTCTGGTGGTGGACTTGGCTCCTGAAAGTTAGAAGCCCTGGAGGCACCAGGCTCCCCCACCCATCTCTTGGTACAATGAAGGTGCTGCCCAGAGGCCCACCTGGCCCTATGCTCTGTGCGCAGGGCAGCTGTGGGCCGTCTCCAGGCTGCATCCAGGCGCCTGCACACAGAGCTGGAGAACGAAGAAGCCCTGCAGTCGAGGGTCACAGCCACATTGAAGGAGAACCAGTAAGCTGGGCATTGCCCTGGAGGAGCGAACTAGGATGCAGAGCCCAGGGCAGCTGGTGGGCCAATTCCTAGCATGGGGTGGAGAGACCCTAAAACCCCAGCGCTGCTCTTCGCCTCCAGCCGCTCAGCAGTGAAGAGGTGGTGCATGGGGGGGGGGGCCCACGGGGGAGGGTCCTTCTTCACCTCCAGCCACTCAGCAGTGAAGAGGTGGTGTGGGGGGGGCACGGGGAGGGTCCCTCTTCACCTCCAGCAGCTCAGCAGTGAAGAGGTGGTGCGTGGGGGGGGGGCCCCCACGGGGGAGGGTCCTTCTTCACCTCCAGCCACTCAGCAGTGAAGAGGTGGTGTGGGGGGGGGGGGGCACGGGGAGGGTCCCTCTTCACCTCCAGCAGCTCAGCAGTGAAGAGGTGGTGCGCGGGGGGGGGGGGGGCCCACGGGGGAGGGTCCTTCTTCACCTCCAGCCACTCAGCAGTGAAGAGGTGGTGGGTGAGGAGGCACGGGGGAGGGTCCCTCTTCACCTCCAGCCGCTCAGCAGTGAAGAGGTGGTGCGTGGGGGGGGGGGGAGGCCACGGGGGAGGGTCCCTCTTCACCTCCAGCCGCTCAGCAGTGAAGAGGTGGTGGGTGAGGAGGCACGGGGGAGGGTGCTCCTGTCCATCCGGGTTCTCCCAGGCCTTTGAGTCTCCTGTGCCTACCTGTCCTTGATGGACACCTGCCTGGCACAGACTACTTCCCCTCCCCACCGGCCAGCATCAGGCCTGGCAAGACCCCCAGTGATCCAGTCTGCATTGACTGCCATGAGCATTCATTTACTTTAAGAAAAATAAATAGGGGCTGGGAAGTTGGCTCAGTGGTAGAACGCTTGCCTTGCATGCCTGAGGCCCTGGGTTCCATTCCTCAGCACCACATAAGCAAAAAGAAAAAAGCCGGAAGTGGCACTGTGGCTCAAGTGGTAGAGCACTAGCCTTGAGCTGAAGAGCTGAGGGACAGTGCCCAGGCCCAGAGTTCAGGCCCCACGACCGGACCCCCCCAAAAAGAAAGAAAGAAAGAAAAAAAAATAACTAAATAAAGGCTGGGAATGTGGCTTAGTGGTGGAGTGCTTGCCTTGCACACATGAAGCCCTAGGTTTGATTCCTCAGTACCACCTACACAGAAAAGGCCAGAAGTGGAGCTGTGGCTCAAGTGGTAAGAGTGGTAGCCTTGAGCAAAAAGACACTCAGGGACAGTGCCCAGGCCCTATTTTGTTTGAAACAATGTCAAACTTAAAGAAGTGATGCAAAATGGCAGAGAGAGTCCAGGTGTGGTGGCACACACCTATAATCCCAGCACTAAGGAGGCAGAGAGGGCACCCATGATTAAGTTTTCCTGCCTCGCTTCTATCCAGGCAGAGCAAGAAGGGTCCTGCCAGCCAGTGTGTGACCATAGACAGGTGAAATGGGTCTGCCTTGGCTCCTCTCTCTTCTGCTTCACCAGAGGTTCAATCTCCTCGTTTTCAGTCTCTATGTCTATGGTAGACCTTCATCTCTGCCGGCCACCTCGGCCTGTTTCCCTTTGTGCGCCTTCCTTTTCTCGCAGGCTTTAGTCTGGAGCTCTAGCCTTCCCCACTGCCTTCTTCAGCTTCTTTTCCGCTTTGCTGGAGCCAGCTGGGCTGACACACATAGCTCTCCCCCGGCCCCCTCCTCCACCCTCAGTGGAGCCCAGACCTTCGCTGGCACCTTGGTGGGGGCTTGTGCGGTTACAGGGCCCAGCTTATGCCCATGCAGCTATGACCCCGGGGAGTCGGGAAGCAGATGGGGCTGGATTGGATTCCCACCAGGCCAGTTGGTGCTCCCCTGCTCCCCCAACTGTGGGGGACGCATTTCATACCTGCACCCCGCCTGCCTCAGCTGCACCCCACAGGGACCTCTGTGATGACAGTTCTCAAAGGAGGAGAGCCAGGGGCTGACACCATTTAATAAAGCAGGAGAGGAGGAGAAATTCCTAACTCAAGCAAGGGTGTTCACCTGATGCATAGGCAGGCAGAGCCCTCTGCTTAACTCTCTGAAGGCCAGGAACACCCGTGGTGCTCATCTAGCGCACAGAGGCCAGACCTGTGTTATCAGCGCGTGCCTGGGCTGCACTAGCCCCTAGGCCGAGACCTTTGCATGGGCAGTCAGTGCGCATGTCACCAGTGTGTCAGCTCTGGGGGTTGGCAGCCCTCCCTGCTAGCTTCTAGAAGCCACTGACACTCACAACTGAGGAGAGGCCTGAGTTTCAGGAAGGACTGTTTGCAGCCTCAGCCCTGTTGCTCCTCATATGAGCTCCTCCCAATTGAAGATGACTCAGGACTAAGTGTAGTGGTTCACGTCTATAATCCCAATTACTCAGGGGGCAGAGATCAGGAGGATCACAGTCTGTGGCCAGTCCAGGCAAAAAGTCATTGAGATTCTGTCTCAGCAAGCAAGCCAGACCTAGTGGTTCAAGCCTCTCATCCTGCCAAGGTGGGAGACATGAATAGAAGGATTGCAATCTGAGGCTGGGCAAAAGGGGGCCTTACCTGAAAAACAACTAAAGTCAAAAGGCCTCAGACTCGTTGTCTGTGTGCACACAGACAATGGATCAGGTCCTGGCCAGCTGCTGGCACTGGGGATGAAGGTGGTTGGAGGTGGGCAGCGGGACCCCACCTCCAGGTGGTGCTGGGCCAAGGGGCACCTTGGAAGAGGGAGATGACCTGTCACAGCTGGTGGTGTCCAACGACCACCCATGTGTTTGGCACCACTTGGCCCAGGCTTTCCCAGGGCCCTAGTATGGAGGCTGCTGGCCACAGGCCCCAGAACCCTTTGCCCCCAGAAACAGCAAGTGCCCTCTCGCTTGCCAGGAACGCCATGTGGCACATTGAGCTCAAGAAGGGGCAGTTTGAGGATGCCCGGAAGTGCGTCCAGGAGGAGGCGGAGGCCAAAGGGAGGCGTCTACAGGCACACACAGCCCAGCAGCTCCACAAGGAGAAGGAGGCCTTGGGGAAGGCAGAGAGAAACAGGCTGCTGCGGACCCGGTGCGTGGCACCCAGCCCTGGCCTGGCTTCTGCCAGTCCCTCCATCTCCACACCAGGGCTGTCTAGGCTTCCCAGGCTCCCTTTCTCCCCCCGACAGGCCATGCTTGCTGGGGCCCAGTGTCCCCAAGCCAGCCACTCCCCGCCACCCGCTCCCTCTTCCTTCCAGGCTCCTCTGCTGGCTCTGAGCCTTGGAGTACTTGGGCTTAGTCCCCCATGCCCCTGCTCAGCCACCCAGCAGCCACCTGGGGGTCCTCCCCATCCCTAGAGCAAACTTCTCTCCTCTACCCCCTCTGGCTTGTGCTATACATTCGTTTCCCACCCTCTACAGATGCCTACCCACCACGATCTGCTGCCCAGGCCAGAGGCCAGCTCTGCCTGACCCTTCCCCCTCCTCCCCAGACCGGGCACATTGCCAGCACTGCTCCCTGCGGGTCTGGGGCCCTGGCTGTGTACACTCAGACTCCTCACCCACACTCCTCGCTGCCCTTGGTCTCTTTACCAGCCTCTTTCCTTACTGATCTCTGCTCAGCCTGGACCAAATGCCACACCAGAGCTCCAGCAGCATCTCCTTTAGCATCTGCTCAGTGTCTCTCAGTCCCAGGCTCCAGCCCTGGGCATGTGTTAGCTGGACCTGGACACAGGAACTGCTCCCAGTGCAGCTCCGAGTACCCAGGGGCTCTGTCTCTGCCATGTCACTGCAGGAAGTCCATGCACCTGCAGCGGGAGCTGGGGCTCAAGCACCAGAAGCTGCTGGAAGACGCCCAGAGGAACCACAAGGTGGCAGTGAAGTTCCTGAAGGCCTCCTTGGGCCGGTGCGTCCCCTTAAAGCTTTGTTAGGGCTCCTCTAAGGAATTTAGGAGTGCCCTCTCTCGCTTTGTTTTGAAAACCCCCAGTTTCTAAATCTTTACCACCTCATCATCAGAAACGGACATGTCTGCAGCTTCAGCTCTGACTTGCTGTCTTTGGAAGAGGATTGCAGACAGCGAGGCCCTGGGGAGGGTGGGCCAGCCATGCATCCCCACAGCTGGCCCTGGGCTGGTCAGTGGACACAGCACGGCCTCGGGGAGGAGAGGACAGGCCAGCCACGTGTCCCTACAGCCGGTCCAGGGCTGTGTGACTCCATTTAACCCTCAGTTGGAGTGTGGGCATCTCAGGCCGCTGCCGCTCTGTAATGGCCCACTGCCATTACAATAATGAACCTGCGTTCATTATTCAAAGCATACTTTCCTCCAGGATACGAGAGCAAGAGCAGAAGGAGGAAACTGAGTCCCGAGAGCACATGAAGCGGCGCATGGATGCCGTGCTGGCCCTGAAGAATAACATCACTGCTAACCGGGTGGGTGCTAGCCTCAGCCGCCCCGGGGGGCCCTGCTCCTGGAGCCAGGCCTGTCCTCTGATTCCTGTTGGGCCAGGCAGCCCCGCAGGCTTCATGCCTTGGCTCAGGGGTGGCGGCAGGTGTATGGGCTCAGGGCAGCACACACTCCAGAGCCAGGGACAGGGCCAGGCAGAGGGGGACATGGCACAATGGAAGGTCAGGGCCGAGGGTGCCGTAGGAGAGGGATGGCTGCCCAGCCTCATGGATGGGCCCACACCTGCTCCAGGTCCTGGCCTCCACTTGGAGAGTTGTGAACATTTGTAATCTGTCTACCTGGGACCCCAGGTGTCGCATTGATTTAAGGACAGGCCGGCCTCTGTGTGTGTGTGTGTGTGTGTGTGTGTGTGTGTGTGTGTGTGTGTGTGTGTGTGTGTGTGTGTGTGTTGCACGTGCGCACTGTGTGTATATGTGCTGGACGCTGCTGGAGCTGTGGCTTCAATGTCCCCTTTCCAGGAAACGCTGCGGAAGTTTCAGGCCTGGGGCCAGGCCAGGGCTGAGCTGGCGGAGCAGAAGGCCCAGGCAGAGAAGGAGCTGATCCTAGCACAGGGCGGAGATGCCTTCAGGCACCTCATCCACCAGCACCGGCTCCAGGAGCTGGAGGCTCAGAAGCGGTGAGGCCCACAGTCCCTGCTTGGGCAGTGGTTGCCAGTCTCTGAGTGTTTGATCCTCACAGTGGAGAGAGCTGACCCCTGCCCAGGCCTCCCCACTGCCACTGAGGGATAGGAGAAGAGGGGTGCTCCCCTACCCCCGCCTCCCTCGCCCAGAAGTCCAACCTGCAGGTGCTAAGAAGAGCCTGGCTCCTTCCCCAGGACCTTCGAGGAAGAGCAGAAGCTGCGGAGACTGGAGATAGTCAGCAAGATTTTGAAAGAGGAAGCGAAAGAAGAAAACAGGAAAAAGAAACAACACCGGCCTGCCAAAACCACAGAATGCAGGACTCTGCGAGATAAGACCTGGAACTACATCTCCGACATCTGCGAGGGCAGGGTAGAGCCCGTGACCTCCCATTACCCAGATGAGGTCTGTACCCAAGGGCCAGGAGGGAGGGACGGCTTTGCAGTCCAGGTGTGAAGGAGGAAGCACCTGAGAGCCCCGGGGCCACAGCTCAGGTGTCCCACTAGGCCTCTCTCCACAGCCCTGACAGCCGCCTCTGCTCCGGCTCCCTGCAAGTCCCTCGCCTGGCCCCGGGGGAGCGCAGCCAGCCCTGTGTCCAGCCCACCTCTCCATCCCTCACCAGGGCTGTGCTGTACCAAAGGCTCCAGCAGGCAGTGTCCCCTGGGGGTGACAGCTCTAATCTACCTCCCCCTAGAGTGTGGGATTGCCTGGTGTGTGCCATCTGTGAGCTCCTCCAGGTGTCTTGGCATCAGAGGAGTCCTTTTCCTGTTTCCGGCTCTGTGTATCCCCCTACCAATCCCCTACCTGGTCCTTCACACATCCCTCCTCTAGTGAATATTGCTTGCTCCCACACATGTACCTTGTCCTCTCTCTGGAAGGCCTTCCCTGAGTCCAGTGTGGCGTCACCCTGAGTCTCTGCACTGTGGCCTCAGCCTGTTTTTCTGTTATGGTGCCCACTGCAGAGCAGCAGAGCCAGAGCAGTCAGATGAGGCCTGAGCCCCCAGCCAGTCCTAGGGACCCAGTGACAGCTGTCCTCCCAGAGCTGGCACAGGGCTTTGCCAGGGCCTGGAGTGTGACTGGCATGCACCCATGGAGGGATGCAGTATGCCCATCACTCAGTGTGTCCCCTAATGGAAACATGGTAGGTACCTTGTAGATGATGATGTGCAAAAGCATGTCGTGTACAAACGTCAGCATGTCACATTCTAAGTGGCACAGTGCCCTTGTCTCAGAGGAGCTGCCTGAACTGTATGCAACTGTGAGGGTCCTGAGCCAGGGCCCCAGGAGCTTATCTGTTCATCTTCTGCTCATCTGCCTGTCCTCTTCCCAACACTGAACATGCCTTGCTGCTCTCTTGCCTGCAGGAGCCTGAGGATGAGCCCCCCAAGCACTTGTGGCTCTCGAAAACCCTCTCCACCGAGTGTTTGCAGGTGGACCTTGAAGCCCTCAACATTCAGGAGGAGGTCCTGGCTGAGCCAGAGATCCCTGGGCTCTGGAGCGAGGACTATAAGCCGTACCAGGTGCTGGCCTTCCTCTGCCTCCGAGCTGCCTTTCCCCTTGCTGCTGTTTGTCCACTCCCCCACTTCCCCTCCTAGAGCCCTCGGAGCTGGCCCTGTGTGGCTCACTACTCTCCTGGCTGCTCAGCTCCAGTCCTGAGCCTCGGGCCTCAGGGTAGGACAGGAAAGGGAGGGTCCCTCCTCACTCTGCTCACTGTCAGGAAAAGACATGAGCTCACACTTCCTTTGAAAGCCTATTTCTGGAAGCATGCCCTGTACAGAGCCCGGTCCTCCCCTGCTGGGGCTCCATCCTCCACTCAGTCGCAGCCATTTGGAAGCAGAGGACAGGATAAGGCTGGACTGGCCGCCCCACTCTAAACCCAGCAGGACACAGTGGACATGGTCAGGCACCAGGCACTCTCCACCACGAAGTACCAGAGGAAAGGCCAGCTGGTGGCCAGGCAGGGACAGTCATCAGAAGGAAAGCCTCGGGGCAGTTTTCCACTGCTGCTGACCCAGTTGCTGGCCTCAGGTGTCCTGGTGGCTGTGCATCTGGCCCAGACTGGACTTTCACTGACATTACTACTTGAGGAAATTGTTCTCTGTAGAACTTTCCAGAAACCTTATTCTTACTCTGCAATCTAGAACATTCCTCTCTGCCATTACTTCCCTAAAACTTGCCTGAGTCCTCCTGTTTCTGCCCTTTTTCCTTTTTTTTTTTTTTTTCCTCCAAAGCATGGGATCTCTGCCTGGCCTGTGACCCAAAACAAAGCCATGGCCTGTGGCAGACAGAGCCCAGAGTACTGAGCCCTTCCCTGCTTTGCTTAGCCCTGCACATGGCCAGGTGCTGGGCCTTGAGTGGGCACAGGCCTCTGCCTCTGTGACCCCCAGGTGCCCAAGGAGGAGGTGGACCAGAAGCCCGTGGGTGGGACCAAGATGGACCGGGACATCCTGGCCCGCACCATGGAGCAGCTGCGCAGCGGGATCATCCACAAGCAGGTAGTGTCCGGCCGGGAGTTCAAGGGCCGGCCCTTCAACAGCAAGCCTGAGGTCATCCACTTCAAGGTGAGTGGCTCCCTGGTCAAGGGGGAAGCGCTTTGCCCCCCATCCTGCCTTTGACCAACCCTTTTGCTTTGACTTAGGGAACCCGAGGCTAGCAAGCAAGGGCTGGGGCAGACACCCTAAGGATGAGGAAGTGCCAGCCTCCTCCTCCTTCCTCGGGCCTAGGGGCCTCTGGGGAAGGACAGGTGGCCAGGTAGTCGCCTGCCAGGCAGTGTCTGCTAGGCAGATTCCAGCTCCACGTGAGGCAGTCTGCAGGGTGGGTGTTCAGGGTGGGTCTGCAGAGGTGGCTGAGGCTGAGACGGGTCACCTGAGCTTCCGTTCTCACTCCTACATGCCAGGCCCCACAAAACCTCATCCTGGAGCCCTGGTGTGGATGGTGAGATTCTCACCATGTCCTTCAGGCCTCCTGGGGGCCCTCAGTTCATGGAAACCTGGGGAATGTGTACCTGGGGACCTCTCTCTGGTTAGCATGGGCACACAAGCCAACCCAGAACTCATTCCCCCACGCGGAGCCCATTCCCCAGCCTGCTCTGAGGCTGCAGCCCAGGGCCTGGGTCACTGCTGAGCCTCTATCTGCAGGACTTCGATGTTGGCAAAGTGTACAAGAAGAAGATCACTTTGATAAACGCCACCTACACCATCAACTACTGCAAGCTGGTGGGTGTGGAGGAGACCCTGCGGGACTTCATCTACATCGAGTGAGGCCGAGTCCCATGGAACCTGAGCATAGGGCGGGTGGAGCTTCCATGAGGAGTTGAGATTCTGGAGCTGAACTCACGGAGGCCAGGTCTGACATGCAGGCCGCCTGCTCACTGCCCCCTTGGGCGGGCGGCGTCAGGGCGTGCTCCCGGCAGCTAGCATCTTCTCAACTGGGATGCGTTTGAGATCCTTACTGGGCTGTAACTTTGTCTTCCTCCCTGCCCCAATTTTTTGTTCTCTTCCTCGTCTGCCTTTGTCTTCCTTGTCTTTTGTATTCTCTTCGTGTCTGGCATGAAGTCTGCTACTTCTTCCTCTTTTGTCTTTTCTGTGGCTCTCTCTTAGCTCTTATGTCTCAGCCTCTGGCCTTAGCTTACTTTTGGTCCTTTGAGACAGTCTCACTGTGTAGCTCAAGCCAGCCTCAAACTTAATCCTCTGCCTCTTCAGTGCCACACTTGGCCTTGGACTTTTTTTTTTTTGGTCATGGGGCTTGAACTCTGGGCCTGGGCGCTGTCCCTCAGCTCTTCAGCTCAAGGCAAGCACTCTACCACTTGAGCCACAACACCTCTCCCGGTTTTCTGGTGGTTAAGGTAGTTAATTGGAGATAAGAGTTTCACGGACTTTCTTGCCTGGGCTAGCTTGGAACCGCAATCCTCAGACCTCAGCCTCCTGAGTAGCTAGAATTACAGATGTGAGCCACTGGTGCCCAGCTTTGGCCATGGCTTTTAAGGAAGCTTTGTTGTTTCTTCCTTCCTTGTCTGTGCCAGGCTTCATGGACACTTTTTTTTGCTGTGTAGTTCAGGTTTCCTTGAACTTGCCCTCCTGCCTCCACCTCCTGGGGCTATAGATATGTACTACCCAGCCCAGGAAGGTTTGGCGGCCCAGCATCAATTTTAAATTTCTAGTCTGAGATCGCTCACTTCCATTAGTGTGTGACCCTAACACCCCCAGTGTGCAGGTCCAGAGCCCCTTCCTCCCTGCCAGCATCGTCCTGAGGCCGCTGCTCTAGGGTTGAGCCCCTGATGACCCCTCTTATGAGCAGCACAGCCAGCAGGAGTCCCAGAGTATCTGTTCTCTTGGGAACTACAAGGAAGCCAGCCACAGGATCTTCTTTCCCTCCCTCTTCCTTGCTGTTTTCCAGAATCTTCTAGCTGGCCACAGAGGCCCATGTGGAGAGAGTTACTATAAATTGGTATTTATTTTCTCTGGCTTCTGGTCCTGCTGAGTCATGTGGGCTCCTGGAGGGTGGACATGTGTGTGCACATATAGACATTACATACATATACGCATGCTCGCACACACATGCACACACATGCATACACATTCATTCATATCCCTCCCTCCAGGTGAGGTGTCAGCTACCCAACTCCCCTCCCCAGATCAAGATTAGAATTTCCCTCAACACCTGGAGGGCATCATTATTCATTTATTCCTGGAATTTTTTTTTTTAGTCAGTCCTGGGGCCTGAACTCAGGGCCTGAGCTTCTTTTGCTCAAGAGCAGCACTCTACCACATGAGCCACAACGCCCCCTCCAGCTTTTTCTGTGTTTGTGGTACTGAGGAATGGAACCCAGGGCTTCATGCTTGCTAGGCAAGCACTCTACCACTAAGCCACATCCCCAGCCCCTCCATGGATTTTTTTGAGGTACTGGATTGAGCTCAAGGGCTTGAGCCTGTTATCTAGATGCTCTACCACATGAGCCATGCCTCCATGTCCTTTTTTCATTGTTTTTTTTTTTTGGTTCCAGTCGTGGGGGCTGAACTCTGGGTCTGGGCGCTGTCCCTCAGCTCTTCAGCTCAAGGCTAGTGTTCTACCACTTGAGCCACAGCGCCACTTCCGGCTTTTTTCTTTTTGCTTATGTGGTGCTGAGGAATCGAACCTAGGGCCTCATGCGTGCAAGGCAAGCGCTCTACCACTGAGCCACCTTCCCAGCCCCTCATTGGTTATTTTCAAGGTAAGGTCTTGCTTTATCCTAGGCCAGTCTGGCCTGCTGTCTTCCAATTTGTACTTCCTGGTGTTACTGGGGATGGCAGGTGTATACCACTACAGCCAGCCATCATCCTCCCCTGTAGCTGGAATAGCAGGTATGTGCCACTGCACCTAGCCATTGCTTGAGAGAAGTCTCACAGGCTTGTTTGTGCACAGGATGGCCTCCTACCACAATCCCCCAATCTCTGCCTCCCAAATAGGTAGGACTGCAAACCCAGACCTCTGTGTCCAGCTTCATGGTGCCTCTCGAGCCACACGTTCAGATCATACCAGCTTTGCGATGCCTCAGCCCTCGCTGAGACACCTGGCAGTTGCTGGGAATGTCCTCCAGGCTCCTGGCTTCTTCTGCTGGGTCTGGTCAGCTGTGAAGTTGCTGACTGCGTGTCTGGTTCCGGCTCTGTGTGTCTCTTTTCTGAGCATCCCAAGCTCTTTGCAGATGCGCTGGCACTTCTTGGCAGTGCAGGCTCTTGTTGCACGGCTGTGATTCTTATGACTTTAGCCATTTTAATTACATGTCTTCTAAAAGCTCCACTTAGCTGTTCCACCCAGCATAGTCTGCAGCTTGGCCTTGCTGCTCGCTGTCTGCTTGTGTGTGCACGCCTCCTGCCGGTGACCTTATGCCCCCCACTGGTGACCTTGAATCCTGCCCTCTCCTGCCAGATGGTTGTGCCCTGGGTTCTGTGGTGGCTACCATCAAAATGTGTTCTCCCCATCAGAAATTCTGATTTCCTTCTGCCTGGGGCATAGGGTTGTGGCCAGCAAAGGATAAATTTCATTGTCCTTGTTTTGTGCCATTACTGGGGCTTGAACTCAAGGCTTAGGTGCTGTCCCTGAGCTTTTTTGTTCAGGGCTAGCACTGTATCACTGGAGCCATAGCTCTACTTCCAGCCTGGGTGGTTAATTGGAGGTACGAGTTTCACAGACTTCTCTGCCCAGGTTGGCTTTGAACTGTAGTCCTTAAACCTCAGCCTCCTGATTAGTTAGGATTATAGATGTGAGCCACCAGTGCCCAACCAGGAGATGTTTTCATATTAAGCTTCTATTTTGTACACTTACAAACACAGCAAATTAGGTAAAATCTAATGTGAGAGACCTTTCCTCGCCCAGGGTCAGCCCCTCCCCAACTGTGCACCTGGCAATGTGGCTGGGGGTCAGGGCCACTCAAAACAAGCATCCCACCTCCTAGATGGTCCTTGCTTTCCAGACACATCCAGAGGTTACTGCAGGGTGGGGATGGGGTCTCCTGCCCCCTGGGGACACTGTGCTCTGTGTGCGGCAGGGAGCACACAGACCCATGGCTGCCCTTGGCCAGGGCACCTGGACGAGGGGAGGAGGGCCCCAAGGGGTCCACCTCCCAGAGCTACTCGGCGCTCACCTAACCCCATGCTACTGTGCTTGCAGCTTTGACCCCCCCGGCCCCATGTCTGCCGGGATGTCCTGCGAGGTCCTGGTCACCTTCAAGCCCATGGTGAGTCAGAGGATGGGCAGCAGCCCTGTCTTGGCTGTTTTGTCCCAGCAGTACCCTGGAAAGCTGCAGGCAGCACAAACGCTTGCTATTGCCTAGCTGGGGCCTCGTTGAGGGGCCTCCAGGGGTGGGCTGGGGTGGGGAGGGACCTCAGCTCGGGGCAGGCAGGCCCAGGCTCAGGCCCAGGCCTCGGTTATACAGTTGCGGCCTACGGACCTGGGTCCATCTCACATAGGTGTATGGTCCATCTCACATAGGTGTATGTGGTTGGTTTTTATTTTTTAGATCAATAAAGATCTGGAAGGAAATGTCTCCTTTTTGGCTCAGACAGGCAGTTTTTCTATTCCACTGAAATGTTCAACAAAGAAATGTTCCGTAAGTTCCAATTTGTATTCACGGTGTTTCTCATAGGAACCCTAGTGAGCTTGTACCCAGGACCGTGGGTACAGACAGGTGGGGAGCTCTGAACTGGGATGCAGGGGGGGGCGGAGCTCTGAACTGGGGTGCAGGGGGGCAGAGCTCTGAACTGGGGTGCAGGGGGCGGAGCTCTGAACTGGGGTGCAGGGGGGCAGAGCTCTGAACTGGGGTGCAGGGGGCGGAGCTCTGAACTGGAGTACAGAGGGGAGGGCAGAGCTCTGAACTGGGGTGCAGAGGGGAGGGCAGAGCTCTGAACTGGGGTGCAGAGGGGAGGGCAGAGCTCTGAACTGGGTTGCAGAGGGGGGGCGGAGCTCTGAACTGGGGTGCTGAGGGGAGGGCGGAGCTCTGAACTGGAGTACAGAGGGGAGGACGGAGCTCTGAACTGGGGTGCAGGAGGGCGGAGCTCTGAACTAGGGTGCAGGGGGGGCGGAGCTCTGAATTGGGGTGCAGGGGGCGGAGTTCTGAACTGGGGTGCAGGGGCGGAGCTCTGAATTGGGGTGCAGGGGCGGAGCTCTGAACTGGGGTGCAGGGGGTGGAGCTCTGAACTGGGGTGCAGGGGGCGGAGCTCTGAACTGGGGTGCAGGGGGGGCAGAGCTCTGAACTGGGGTGCAGGGGGGCAGAGCTCTGAACTGGGCTGCAGGGGGGGCGGAGCTCTGAACTGGGGTGCAGAGGGGAGGGCAGAGCTCTGAACTGGGGTGCAGAGGGGAGGGCGGTGTCCCCTCAGGCTGTGGTTTGGTGACAGCTTGGGTCAGCCTCCAGCCTGGATCTCAGTGGGGTGTGTGAGAGGCTCAGGCCAGAGCTGGACAGCTGCGGGCAAGCCAGCTCCTTGAGGCGCAGGTCTTGGACCCTCTGTGGAGATTTTGGTGTGCCCTGGACACTGGCGGTGTGATTTAGAAATTTTCAAACATGATGAAAAGCAGGAAGAATCACAGGGTGAAATTCTATTCACCACATGTAGTCACCACCCCTGCCATGCTGGCCTCCTTGCCCGCCCACCCCTACCAGCTCCTCAGCCCCTCCGGAGCTCCTTGTCCCAGTAAGCACAGAGCCCTGTGGCTCAGGACATGGCCCCATGCTTGCCCATGAACCGACTGGCGCGGCATAGCCTGCCTGACCCAAGCATGTGGCACATCCCAGGGCGGCTGGGTGTGGCTCAGGCCTCCAGGGACGCAGCTACGATCCGACACAGGATGCCTGGATCCCCAGACACCAAGGCCGACAGCGGCAGCAGGACTCAATCCACTTGCACACATTACACTTCCCGCAACTCATTGCCCGTGGCCTGCCGCACCGAGGAGGGAGATCCTCGAGGCTGGAAGAGAACAAGGAGTTGAGAGGAGTGAAGAATTTGAGGGTGCTCCACACTAAAAATCAACTAAAAGTACCCAGGCTATATCCAAGCACAGCTCTGACCTGACAGACAGATGCGTGTGTGCGTGTGCGTGTGCATGTGCATGTGTATATGTGTGTATGTGTGCTGGGACTGGGACTTGAACATGAGTCCATCCCTGCGTATGCAGTGTGTGGCTCACCCAGAACCTTGTCCACCCTGCCTGGAGCCTCACCCATGCGGAGGAGAGACCAGCTTCCCTGGGGGGTCTCCAGGCTGCAGGTGAAAGCGGGGCCTGGGGCTGTGAGCCACAGCACCTGCAAGGGCTGGCTGGCTCTCCTGCGCTGGCCGCCCTGCTGGCCAGCAGCCACCACCCTGGCTCACTGGCGTCCTTTGGCAGCTGTCTCTCGACAGAGAGCTCATCGACTTTGGCAGCTACACTGTGGGGGAGACCACAACCCAGACCATCACGCTGACCAACACCGGGGGCCTGGGCACCAAGTTCAAGTTCCTCGTGGCATCTGAGAACTATGGCACAGAGGACTATGAGGCCATCCTGAAAATGGTAAGTAGGCCACTGTGGGCCGTTGCCCAATGCTGTGGCTGCCTAGGCCAAGGGTCAGCTGGGCCCCATGTCTCTGCCTGGTGAGGGCAGGGCACTGAGTCGGGGTCCCACACGTGAAGTGGGCTATGAGGGTGCTGACTACCCCACAGGAGGAGCAGAGGAGACCGGAGAACATGAGGGGGACATCGAGGTCCATGGCCTCCGGAATGGTGGATCACGGCATTGTCCCTTCTCAGGCATGTGACGGTGTGGGGGAAACATGGGGACCCCAGGAGCTAAGAGTCTGGGAGACACTGCAGCCTGCCCTGCCCTGGCCAGACCTGCAGTGGCACCAAAGCAGTCAGGGATTTGGTGTCACTCCCAGGAAGGGCTGTGCAGGGCCGGGGTGCCTGGTTGCAGCCTAGGAGAGCCCCTCAGAGTGAGGCCTCTGCCTTCCAGTGAATTGGGGGAGGGACTCCACTCACAAGCCACGAGAAGCCAGGGCTCTGGCCCTCAGTCATGTGGCAGCCAGAAAAAAACCCAGGGGAGGACACATGGCGCTGACGTGTGTGGCCCCACGGCTGAGGGTAGTAGGGAGAGGGCAGATGGGTTTCTGCGGTTAGGGCTGTTGAGGGGTGAGCAGGAAGGTACCAGGTTGGGTCCACCTCGCTGGGGCTGAGGAGGAGCCAGTGAGATCCAGACTCAGAGGCAAGACACAAGGAAAGGTGCAGGGACCAGAAGCCTGGCCAGACACAGCTGTGATGGCCTCCGGGCCAGGGGAAGGCGGTGAGAATGCCGAGTTCCCTTTCAGAGCAGCCTCTTCACCTTCGAGGACAAAAGCATCTACGAGAAGATCGTCACCAGTTTCTCTGAGACACCCTTTGAGGGCTTTGAGTCCGTGGCAGACCTCTCGAGCCGGTGGGACCCGGAGAAGCAAGATGGTGAGGGCCCAGGCAGCCAGAGGGCGGGCACTGCGCAGCCCCAAAGCCCCTCCTGCGTTGATTCCGAGCAGCAGCGGGGGAATTTGGCACAGCAGGGTGCTGGACTGGCTCAGAGCACTGGTATGGGCAGGACAGCCTCCAGGCATGCCCTGCATCCCCCTGGACCCCTCACCCCAGCAGAGCTGGGCAGGGCTTCTGGGAGCCTTCTCCAGGCTTCAGCTTCACCTGATAGTAAACACAGGAAACATCTGTATGCTCGTGTGTGTGTGTGTGTGTGTGTGTGTGTGTGTGTGTGTGTGTGTGTGTGTGTGTGTGTGTGTGTGTGTGTGTGTGGAGCATGGGGTGGATTGACGTGTGCATTCTTCCTGAAACTGGGCACGGGCTTGCTGAGCATGCGCAAGGCCCTGCATTCAGTCCCCAGGACTGGAAAATAACACTGTAAAGAAAACCAACAGCCCTGCGTCGCTGGTGGCTCAGGCCTGTAATCCTAGCTACTCAGGAGACTGAGCGCTGAGGATCGTAGTTCAAAGCCAGGCTGGCCAGGGAAGTCTGTGAGACTTTTTTTTTTTGTCAGTCATGGGGCTTGAACTCGGGGCCTGGGCGCTGTCCCTCAGCTCTTCAGCTCAAGGCTAGGGCTCTACCACATGAACACAGTGCCACTTCCAGTTTTCTGAGTGGTTTATTGGAGGTAAGAGTCTTACAGACTTTCCTGCCAGGGCTGTCTTTGAACTGCGATCCTCAGATCTCAGCTTCCTGAGTAGCTAGGATGACAGGTGTGAGCCACTGGTGCCCGGCACCCTGGTTATTTCTGAGATAGGCTCCCACAAACGTTTTTGCGAGGGCTAGCCTGAAACTGCAGTTTTTCTACTCCCCACGTCCTGAGTAGCCAGGATTACTGGCAGGGCCTAAGTCACCTGATCTCTGGGCACCCTCTTCTGGTCACTTCGTCCCCTGTCAGTCCTTATGCCACCATCTCGCTTGTGGCAGACTGCACACTTCCATATACACTTTAGAAGCTGCTGCTTGATTTCCGGGGGAAGGAAAGCCTGTGTGAGTGTGAGTGTGTAGCTTTGGAGAGTCGACGTGCTGACCTGTCAAGTCTCCCCACAGTCTGGGCATCCAAAGCACCTCGCCCTTCTCAGCAGGGCCCCGTTCAGCTCATGGCCTTCCACCATCTTCCTCTGTTATGCAGTCAGGCAGTCTATTTGGATTTATTTCTAGTATCTCATTTTGTCTTCCAGAAGCTGAGGTGACTCCTGTGGCCAATGGTGCTGGTCCGAATGAGGAGCAGATGGAGATCACACTGGGGGAGGTCGGCCCAGTGCCCGCGCCTGCCCCGCTGCCCCTCCTTATCCACTGGCCCTCCCTCTGATGGGCTAGACCCAGGCAGACCACAGCCAGCACCCTAGCAGCCCCTTCCCCAGGGGAGCTGGGCAGGCTCAGAACAAGACAGTTTCCTGGGTGCAGCTGGCAGTGGGCTGTCCCTGGCCGGACCCCGCAGGCCTTAGGGCCAGGGCTTGTGTGTGACCAGGCCCAGCCAGGGACCAACCCTTGCTGCAAAGTGGCCGTCCTGGCAGTCAGCATGATGCCACCTGCTAACCCATGGCTCCACCCCCACTGTGCAGTTGACTGAGGGGGAAATCGGCCCATTCAGCTCCATCAGAGTGCCCATCATCTTCGCCCCAGCCATCCCGGGAGAGGTGGAGGCCAGGTTCAAGGTCGCATTTAAGAACCCACAGTCACCCACGGTGAGTACTGTGCTACTGGCTGAGAGGCCTGTCCTGTGAGGGAGACTCCAGCCCTGTCCCCCGTGAGGGAGGACTCCACCTGTCTCTGTGAGGGAGGACTCCAGCCCTGTCCCTGTGAGGGAGGACTCCGCCTGTCCTGTGAGGGAGGACTCCACTTGTCCTGTGAGGGAGGACTCCACCTGTCCTGTGAGGGAGGACTCCACCTGTCCCTGTGAGGGAGGACTCCAGCCCTGTCCCTGTGAGGGAGGACTCTACCTGTCCCTGGGAGGGAGGTCTCCACCTGTCCTGTGAGGGAGGACTCCACCTGTCCCTGTGAGGGAGGACTCCAGCCCTGTCTCTGTGAGGGAGGACTCCAGCCCTGTCTCTGAGGGAGGACTCCACCTGTCCTGTGAGGGAGGACTCCACCTGTCCCTGTGAGGGAGGACTCCACCTGACCCTGTGAGGGAGGACTCCACCTGTCCCCTGTGAGGGAGGACTCCACCTGTCCTGTGAGGGAGGACTCCACCTGCCCCTGTGAGGGAGGACTCCACCTGCCCCTGTGAGGGAGGACTCCACCTGTCCCTGTGAGGGAGGACTCCACCTGTCCTGTGAGGGAGGACTCCACCTGTTCCCCGTGAGGGAGGACTCCACCTGTCTCTGTGAGGGAGGACTCCACCTGTCCTGTGAGGGAGGACTCCACCTGCCCCTGTGAGGGAGGACTCCACCTGTCCCTGTGAGGGAGGACTCCAGCCCTGTCCCTGTGAGGGAGGACTCCACCTGTCCCTGTGAGGGAGGACTCCACCTGTCCTGTGAGGGAGGACTCCACCTGCCCCTGTGAGGGAGGACTCCACCTGCCCCTGTGAGGGAGGACTCCACCTGTCCCTGTGAGGGAGGACTCCACCTGTCCTGTGAGGGAGGACTCCACCTGTTCCCCGTGAGGGAGGACTCCACCTGTCTCTGTGAGGGAGGACTCCACCTGTCCTGTGAGGGAGGACTCCACCTGCCCCTGTGAGGGAGGACTCCACCTGTCCCTGTGAGGGAGGACTCCACCTGTCCTGTGAGGGAGGACTCCAGCCCTGTCTCTGTGAGGGAGGACTCCGCCTTTCCTGTGAGGGAGGACTCCACCTGTCTCTGTGAGGGAGGACTCCGCCTTTCCTGTGAGGGAGGACTCTACCTGTCCCTGTGAGGGAGGACTCCAGCCCTGTCCCTGTGAGGGAGGACTCCACCTGTCCCTGTGAGGGAGGACTCCAGCCCTGTCTCTGTGAGGGAGGACTCCACCTGTCCCTGTGAGGGAGGACTCCAGCCCTGTCTCTGTGAGGGAGGACTCCACCTGTCTCTGTGAGGGAGGACTCCACCTGTCCCTGTGAGGGAGGACTCCACCTGTCCCTGTGAGGGAGGACTCCACCTGTCCTGTGAGGGAGGACTCCACCTGTCCTGTGAGGGAGGACTCCAGCCCTGTCTCTGTGAGGGAGGACTCCGCCTGTCCTGTGAGGGAGGACTCCACCTGCCCCTGGGAGGGAGGACTCCACCTGTCCTGTGAGGGAGGACTCCAGCCCTGTCTCTGTGAGGGAGGACTCCGCCTGTCCTGTGAGGGAGGACTCCACCTGCCCCTGGGAGGGAGGACTCCACCTGTCCTGTGAGGGAGGACTCCACCTGTCCTGTGAGGGAGGACTCCACCTGTCCCTGTGAGGGAGGACTCCACCTGTCCTGTGAGGGAGGACTCCACCTGTCTCTGTGAGGGAGGACTCCAGCCCTGTCCCTGTGAGGGAGGACTCCAGCCCTGTCTCTGTGAGGGAGGACTCCACCTGTCCCTGGGAGGGAGGACTCCAGCCTGTCCCTGTGAGGGAGGACTCCACCTGTCCCTGTGAGGGAGGACTCCAGCCTGTCCCTGTGAGGGAGGACTCCACCTGTCCCTGTGAGGGAGGACTCCACCTGTCCTGTGAGGGAGGACTCCACCTGTCCCTGTGAGGGAGGACTCCACCTGTCCCTGTGAGGGAGGACTCCACCTGTCCCTGTGAGGGAGGACTCCACCTGTCCTGTGAGGGAGGACTCCACCTGTCCTGGGAGGGAGGACTCCACCTGTCTCTGTGAGGGAGGACTCCAGCCCTGTCCCTGTGAGGGAGGACTCCAGCCCTGTCTCTGTGAGGGAGGACTGCACCTGTCCCTGGGAGGGAGGACTCCAGCCTGTCCCTGTGAGGGAGGACTCCACCTGTCCCTGTGAGGGAGGACTCCACCTGTCCTGTGAGGGAGGACTCCACCTGTCCCTGTGAGGGAGGACTCCACCTGTCCCTGTGAGGGAGGACTCCACCTGTCCCTGTGAGGGAGGACTCCACCTGTCCCTGGGAGGGAGGACTCCACCTGTCCCTGTGAGGGAGGACTCCACCTGTCCTGTGAGGGAGGACTCCACCTGTCCTGGGAGGGAGGACTCCACCTGTCCCTGTGAGGGAGGACTCCACCTGTCCTGTGAGGGAGGACTCCACCTGTCCCTGTGAGGGAGGACTCCACCTGTCCCTGGGAGGGAGGACTCCACCTGTCCCTGTGAGGGAGGACTCCACCTGTCCCTGTGAGGGAGGACTCCACCTGTCCTGGGAGGGAGGACTCCACCTGTCCCTGTGAGGGAGGACTCCACCTGTCCTGTGAGGGAGGACTCCACCTGTCCCTGTGAGGGAGGACTCCACCTGTCCTGTGAGGGAGGACTCCACCTGTCCTGGGAGGGAGGACTCCACCTGTCCCTGTGAGGGAGGACTCCACCTGTCCTGTGAGGGAGGACTCCACCTGTCCCTGTGAGGGAGGACTCCACCTGTCCCTGGGAGGGAGGACTCCACCTGTCCCTGTGAGGGAGGACTCCACCTGTCCCTGGGAGGGAGGACTCCACCTGTCCCTGTGAGGGAGGACTCCACCTGTCCCTGGGAGGGAGGACTCCAGCCTGTCCTGTGAGGGAGACTCCAGCCTGTCCCCTGTGAGGGAGGACTCCAACTGTCCTGTGAGGGAGGACTCCGCCTGCCCCTGTGAGGGAGGACTCCAGCCCTGTCTCTGTGAGGGAGGACTCCGCCTGCCCCTGTGAGGGAGGACTCTGCCTGTCCCTGGGAGGGAGGACTCCAGCCCTGTCCCCTGTGAGGGAGGACTCCGCCTGTCCTGGGAGGGAGGACTCCACCTGTCCCTGGGAGGGAGGACTCTGCCTGTCCCTGTGAGGGAGGACTCCTCCTGTCCTGTGAGGGAGGACTCCACCTGCCCCTGGGAGGGAGGACTCCGCCTGTCCTGGGAGGGAGGACTCCGCCTGCCCCTGTGAGGGAGGACTCCACCTGTCCCTGGGAGGGAGGACTCCTCCTGTCCCTGTGAGGGAGGACTCCACCTGTCCCTGGGAGGGAGGACTCCACCTGTCCTGTGAGGGAGGACTCCTCCTGTCCTGTGAGGGAGGACTCCACCTGCCCCTGGGAGGGAGGACTCCTCCTGTCCTGTGAGGAAGGGCTCCACCTGTCCCTGAGAGGGAGGACCCCAGCTGTAGCCACATTTGGCTGCTGCCCACAGCCATAGCTCACAATTTGCCTATTACCTGCATCAGTGCACACAAGCATGGCACGTGCACATGTACACAGACACACATAGGCCCATACATGCAAGTATGTACACATGGATGTACATCTGTGTGTAAACACATAACACAAGTGTACGCCATGCAGACAGAGCCCTTCTTTTTTTTCCCTTTATTTATTTATTTTTTTTTTTTTTTTGGTCAGTCATGGGGCTTGAACTCTGGGCCTGGGCGCTGTCCCTCAGCTCTTCAGCTCAAGGCGAGTGCTCTACCACTTGAGCTGCAGCGCCACTTCCGGTTTTCTGGTGGTTTATTGGAGATAGGAGTCTCGTGGTCTCTCCTGCCCGGGCTGGCTTTGAACTGCGATCCTCAGATCTCAGCCTCCTGAGTAGCTAGGATTACAGGCGTGAGCCACCAGCGCCCGGCTTCCCTTTATTTATTATTTTTTTTTTTTTGGTCCGGTTGTGGGTCCTGAACTCTGGGCCTGAGCACTGTCCCTCAGCTCTTCAGCTCAAGGCTAGTGCCCAACCACTTGAGCCACAACGCCACTTCCGGCTTTTTTCTTTTTGCTTATGTGGTGCTGAGGAATCAAACCCAGGGCCTCAGGCATGCAAGGCAAGCGCTCTACCACTGAGCCAACTTCCCAGCCCTTTTTCCTTTTAAAAAAAAAAAAAAAAAATTTAACCAGCCTGGCACCTGTGGCTCACACCTTTCATCCCAGCTTCTCAGGAGATCTGAGGATCGAGGTTCAAAGCCAGCCTGGGAAGGAAAGTCCACGAGACTCTTATCCCCAGTAAACCACTAGAAAACTGGAAGTGATGCTGTAGCTCAAGCGGTAGAGCACTAGCCTTTGAGCTGAAGAGCTGAGGGACAGCACCCAAGCCCAGAGTTCAAGCCCCACTACTGACCAAAAAAAAACAAAAACATGATATCAATCAAACCCAGGGCCTTATACACACCAGGCAAGTTCTCTGTACCTAAGCTACACCCACAGCCCTAGCGTGTGTGTGTGTGTGTGTGTGTGTGTGTGTGTGTGTGTGTGTGTGTGTGTGTGTGTGTGTGTGTGTGTGTGTGTGCTGGTCCTGAGACTTGAACTCAGAGCCTGGATGCTGTCCTTGAGCTTTTGTGCTCAAGGCTAGCACTCCACCATTTGCACTACAGCTCCATTTCTGGTTTTTTGGTTGTTAATTGGAGATAAGAGTCTCAAGGGCTTTCCTTCCATGGACTGGCTTCGAACTGTGATCCTCAGATCTCAGCCTCTTGAATAGTTAGAATGACAGGCATGAGCACTGAAGTCCAGCCATCTCCCTCTTATTCAGCTGATAGAAATCTTCCTTTTTAAACCTCCAAGTAGTTGCACTGTTATTTGTTACTTCTCATTATTTATTGGTAAGTATATTAAATCATGATCAGAATATGATCTACAAATTTTGTTGTTAAAATTTTCTTTACCAGAGTCAGAATTCATTTTTAAGTACAAGTACATGTGAAAAAAAGTGTTTTTGTTGAGCAGTGGAAAGCAAACCCCTGGGATGCCTGCCCCTTGTCACCCTGCTTCTAGAAGACAGGTTCTACAGGCTCCTTGTGCAAGGCATGCACTCTACCGATGAGCTACCTTCCCAGCCCCAACACAGGCTCCTTGTGCATCAGTGCTGAAGGCTCCTCTCTGCTTCTTCCTCTGAGTTGTGCCCTTCCTCCATCCTCAGGTCTTACTGTGTAGCACAGGCTAGTCTCAAATTGGAGATCTTCCTTACCCAGCCTCCTGAGATTACAGGTGTACTCCACCATGCCTAGCTCATGGTCACCCTTTAAGTAGTAATAGTAGATGATGATGATGATGATGATAACGATGACATCCTCTTTCCAGCAGCCAGGTTTTATCTGTCACCCGGCTGGCATGGGCTGGACTGCACTGTAATTGACAGGCCTCCTCTCCCCTCTCCCTGGCCGCACATTGTTGCACTTTGTCACCTTCTCTGCCTCAGCTGATGTTCGTTACCTGCCCTGTGGCAGGAGGACGGGTGTGGGCTGGAGGAGGAAGGTCCTCCACATTCTCCCCAGCAGCATCACCCAGCACCTGGTGGTCCCTGCACCCCTGCTTCCCTGCGTGTCCCCAGCATCTAGGCCAGCACAGCTGCCATTGGAGTCCTTACAGTGTCCTCAGCGCTGCTGTGGCGTTCTTGTCCATTACCCAGGGTCCATACTCAGAGCAGGACATCCAGGCCTGACCCCTGTCCATCAGGACTGCTGCCCCAGCGGGAAACCCACTCAGGGCAAACAGGAAGCAAGCTGCATGTAGATCTGCCTTGGCAATTGAACTTTGGTCCTGGACTCTGTCCCTCAGCTCTTCAGCTCAAGGTAAACGCTCTGCCACTCGAGCCACAGCTCTACTGGTTTTCTGGTGGTTATTTGGAGATAAAAGTCTCATGGAGGGCTGGGAAGGTGGTTCAGTGGTAGAGCGCTTGCCTTGCATGCCTGAGGCCCTGGGTTCGATTCCTCAGCACCACATAAGCAAAAAGAAAGAAGCCAGAAGTGGCGTTGTGGCTCAAGTGGTAGAGCGCTAACCTTGAGCTGAAGAGCTGAGGTACAGCGCCCAGGCCCAGAGTTCAGGCCCCACAACCGGACCCCCCCCCCAAAGAAAAAAGTCTCGTGGACTTTACTGCCCCAGGCTGGCTTTGATCCTCAGATGTCAGCTTTCTGAGTAGCTAGGATTACAATCATGTGCCACCTTACCTGGCTAGGAATCAGGTGTTTTTTTGTTTGTTTGTTTTTGTTTGCTTGTTTCTTTTGCCTGTCCTGGGGCTTGAACTCAGGGTCTGGACACTATCCCTGAGCTTCTTTTGCTCAAGGCTAGCACTCTACCACTTGAGTCACAGCACCACTTCTGGCTTTTTCTGTGTATGTGGTACTGAGGTATGGAGCCCAGGGCTTCGTGCGTGCTAGGCAAGCACTCTACTACTGAGCCACATTCCCAGCCCCAGGAATTGATTTTAACAGGAATGTCCAAGGACTAGGCATTACCCAGAATGCTTGGCGACACAGTCTTACAGTAGCACACTATGCCAGTGATTCCCTAATAACCCATAGTGCCAGACCCCAAGTGAGATCATTCAGACTGTCAAAGACATCATAAAGTAAAAGAACCCTGAGTTATGCAATAAGTTAATAAAAAGCTACCCACAGCCAAGCACTGGTAGCTCACGTCTATAATCCTAGCTACTCAGGAGGCTGAGATCTGAGGATCATGGTTCAAAGCAGCATGGGCAGGAAAGTCTGTGAGACTCTTATCTCCAATTAACCACCAGAAAACCAGAAGTGGTGCTGTGCCCAAAATGGTAGAGTTCTAGCCTTGAGCTGAAGAGCTGAGGGACAGAGCCCAGGCCCAGAGTTCAAGCCCCACAACCAACAACAACCAAAAAAACTATAAGTACAAAATCTAAGCATTATAAGGTAAGTTTATAAGCATTAGGAATAGAAAATATGTCAGGTTTTAACAAAATTATATTCTGATAAATCACATATTAGCACACAGTCTAGGAAGTATGGATGAGAGTAGATTAAAGCATACCTCTTGTTGGATGCTGTTGGCTCATGCCTGTAAGCCCAACTACTCTGGAGGCTGAGATTTAAGGGTCAGCTTCTTAGACAAAGTCCACAGGCTCCATCTCCCAATTAGCCAGTAAAATGCCAGGCTGGTTCAAGTGGTAGAGCTGTATGAGCAAGCAAGCTGAGCCAATGCATAAGGCCCTAAGTTCAAGTCCTGGTACCAATATGAGAGGAAGGGGAGGAGAGAAAGAGAGAGAGAGAGAATGCTCTTACCCAGGCAGCTGTCCAGGCTCCAGATCTGGTCCGGAGAGAGGAGCTAGAGAGAAACGAGATGCAGGGAGAAGGGAGCTGTGTGAGTGGATGGTAATGATGGGGAGAATGCCACAGAACTGGAACCACCACTTGCTTAATTATTAACCTTCCAATACTCAGTGCCAATCACTAAGGCAACCCAAGAAGCACCCCTCTCTCCCAGCAGAGCACCGGGCTTTCCTTACGAACCACTGTGTGGTTGAATTCACCTGTGGAATTCAGTTGTATTTCAGAGCTGTTGGCCTGGCAGTGGACGTGCCAGTCTGGCTGCCCAGGCCCAGTGTGGACCTGAAGATCTGCATGTTCGACCGGCTGTACCAGGACTCCATCCTCGTCCACACGCGGTGAGCCCCCTGCTGGCCTGCAGGGGCACTGCGCCCCAAGCGGGCCCCTGAAGGAGGTGATCCTGGGTGACCCGGCACTATCATGGGAGGAACAAGGGTGAGGGAGGGCAGATTTGGAGACAGAGGAAGGGAGCCAAGGAATACCAGGGCCTTGGGAATGGGACCAGGGAGGGCAAGAAAGAGAGGCTTGGAGGGAAGAAGGAAGCATCCCTGCACATGGCTTGGCCCGAGCCAGGGGAGGTCCACTGTGGCTCTGCCTCCATGGAAGTTGTTTCAGTAAACACACTCCCACTCAGGACTACACACGCGTGGGACAGCAGCACAGGACATGAGCAAGGTCTGCTCTCTGAGGTCATCCAGACACAGATGACCCCAGCAGTGCAGCATGGGCAGCGGTCCTGGGGTGGGCATCTCAGGGCCACTACACCCAGGCCAGAGTTAGCACCAGGCCAGGCCGCTGCTGTGCCAAGCCCCGGCTGCTGCCACCCTCCTGCCAGGGCTCCACGGCCCTACTCCCCGAAGCCAGGGATTGCTGTAGCCCTAAGCAGCCTCCCCAGGGACAGGAAGTCTTCAAGACCCTGGGTGAGGCTCTGCCTTAGGGAAGGAAGCCGTCTGGGAGAGCCTGGGGGGCTTGGTCAAACAGGGTCTCTTGTAGGATGTGAACTGCTTCCTGCTCATATGGGGTGGGGGACCAAGGGGTCTGGGGTGACACACAGGGTGTCCAGAGGGACTGAGGTGAAGTTTCTCTGTGTTGACCCTTCCCCAGGACACATGTATCCGTGTAAATTTTGTTTCATGATTAAAAAAAAAACCCAAAGCCAGGCACTGGTGGGCTCACACCTGTAATCCCAGCTACTCAGGAGGCTGAGATCTGAGGATCAAAGCCAGGCACCGGTGAGCTCACACCTGTAATCCTAGCTACTCAGGAAGCTGAGATCTGAGGATCATGGTTCAAAGCCAGCCCAGGCAGGGAAGTCTGTGAGACTCTTATCTCCAATAAACCACCAGAAAACTGGAAGTGGCGCTGTGGCTCAAGTGGTAGAGCGCTAGTTATACTTGAGTTGAAGAGCTGAGGGACAGCACCCAGGCCCAGAGTTCAAGCCCCATGAACAAGAAAAAAAAAAAAAAAAAAGAAATGCCTCAGTGGCTCAAAGGGCTAAATGTGCATAGGGCCATGATTGTGACCACCTGACCTGGTGCCCTGTGACCTGCCCACAGTTCAAAAGCAGCCCTGCGCCTGAAGTTTGAAGTTTGCAAGGAGCTAAGAGGCCACATGGAGCTCCTGCCTGAGACGGGCTACATTCAGGCCATGTCAACCTACTCCGTGCAGCTCAAATTCTTGCCTCGGTGAGCTAAGAAAGGCATGGGCCATAGAGGAATGGGGCTTCCAGGGCTTTCCTCTTGCTGGTCCCTTGGCAGGGCACACATCACCATGCTGTGCCACCTGTCAGAATAAGATGACCCTGGTATTGGTATGTGACCCACCTTGGCTTCTGATTGGACACAGTGGGAGCCTGCTGTCTGTGTGTGGCTTCTGATTGGACACAGTGGGTACCTGCTCTGTGTGTGGCTTCTGGTTGGACATAATGGATGCTTGCTGTATGTGGCTTCTGATTGGGCACAGTGGGAGCCCACTGTCTGTGTGTGGCTTCCGATTGGACACAGTGGGAGCCTGCTATCATTTGTTTTTTAATCTTTTTTTGGGTCCAGTCGTGGGGTCTGAACTCTGGGCCTGGGCACTGTCCCTCAGCTCTTCAGCTCAAGGCTAGCGCTCTACCACTTGAGCCACAGCGCCACTTCTGGCTTTTTACTTTTTGCTTATGTGGTGCTGAGGAATCGAACCCAGGGCCTTGAGCATGCAAGGCAAGCGCTCTACCACTGAGCCACCTTCCCAGCCCGGGAGCCTGCTATCTTTGACTGTCTTTTGTTATTCCCAGGTTCTATGTTGGACACTTAAGATTTCTTTTCCTCTGCTCTGACTTTTTTTGTTGTTGTTGGTGGTCGTGGGGCTTGAACTGAGCCTGGGCGCTGTCCCTGAGCTCTTTAGCCCAAGACAAACACTCTATCACTTGAGCCACAGTGCCATTTCTGATTTTCTGGTGATTAATTGGAGATAAGAGTCTCATGGACTTTCTTGCCTGGACTGGCTTTGAACTGCAATCCTCATCTCAGACTCCTGAGTAACTAGGATTATAGGTGTGAGCCACTGACACCTAACTCTCTGCTGAATTTTATACTTCCTGTTCCAAGACCTTTGTTGTTCAACCATCTGTTTGTCTATCATCTATATCATCTACCTATTACCTGTCTATCTTCTATATCTATCTCCCATCTATATTTAATTTATTGTCTATATAATCTATCATCTCTCTTCTATCATCTGTCATCCATCTGTCTTTCTGTTATCTAGCTGAGTGAACTCACAGCCTCCTATTTGCTAGGCAGGTACTCTACCACTGAAGCCATGCCCCTAGTCCTTTTGCTTTCTTTTTCTTTTCTTTTTTTTTTTTTTTTTTTTTTTGTCGTGGGCCTGAACTCTGGGCCTGGGCGCTGTCCCTCAGCTCTTCATCTCAAGGCGAGTGCTCTACCACTTGAGCCACTTCCAGCTTTTTCTGCTTATGTGGTGCTGAGGAATCGAACCCAGGGCCTCATGCATGCAAGGCAAGCACTCTACCACTGAGCCACCTTCCCAGCCCCTTTTGCTTTCTTTTACATGTAGAGTCTCATGTTTTTGCCTGGGTCAGCCTGAATTATGATCTTCCTACCTCCTAGCTGGGATGAGAGTTTGTGACTGAGATGAGATCTCACTAATTTTGTCCAGGCTGGCCTTGAATTATGATCCTCCTGGTTTCTGCCTACTGTTTAGCTAAGATTATCAAAGGCACTTTAAAGGTTCTTATAAGTGAGTGTCTTTATTCATTTAAAACACAACCACTGGAGCTGGGAAGGTGGCTCAGTGGTGGAGTGCTTGCCTCGCATGTATGAGGTCCTGGGTTCAATTCCTCAGCACCACATAAGCAGAAAAAGCTGGAAGTGGCGCTGTGGCTCAAGTGGTAGAGTGTTGGTTTTGAGCTGAAGAGTTCAGGGACAGTGCCCAGGCCCAGAATTCAGGCCCCACGACCGACAAAAAAATAAAAATAAAACACAACCACTGACCTTTACTTAAATGCAGCTGCTCAGAAATATGTCCATTCCACTTAGAGCAACGGGGACTTGCTGCTCACCAAGACGAGGCATCTTGAGGCTTCAGAGCCTGAAGTGCTTCCGAGTTAGCCACAGGATCTGCATGGTAGCAGCAGCATTGGTGTCACCTGAATCTCAGAGCTCCTCCATGCTACCCACTGCACAGTTCCTCTGTGTGTGTGTGTGTGTGTGTGTGTGTGTGTGTGTGTGTGCGTGTGTGTGTGTATGTATGCATATGCATGCATGTGCTGGTCCTGGGGCTAGAACTCAAGGACTGGGCACTTCCCCTCAGCTTTTTTGGTACTTTACTGCAATGAGCCACAGCTCTACTTCCAGCTTTTTAGTGGTTAAGTATAGATAAAAGTCTCACAGCTGGGTGCTAGTGGCTCACGCCTGTAATCCTAGCTACTCAGGAGGCTGAGATGTGAGGATCAAGGTTCAAAGCCAGCGCAGGCAGGGAAGTCCATGAGAATCTTATCTCCAATAAAATCACTAGAAAAACCAGAAGTGGTGCTGTGGTTTGAGCGGTAGAGCGCTTACATTGAGCTGAAGAGCGCAGGGACAGCCCCCAAACCCAGAGGTCAAGCCCCCACGACCGACGAAAAACAAGTCTCGCAGATTTTACTGCCTAGATTGGCTTCAAACTGCAATCCTCAGATCTCAGCCTCCTCAGTAGCTAGGATTACAGGTGTGAACTACTGGCACCTGGCTCCTACATGGTTTACCAGCACCAATTTGAGGTCAGTGGGCAAAATACCTATGGAAATACAGTTGGGCGCACCTGCCTGTTGCAGACTCTCCCTTCCAGAAGATGCAGGGAAGTATTTTGACAAGGACAGCCGAGTTCTGGAGGCTCCAATGACGATCCGGGTGGCCGACCAGGTCTGTACAGGGTACTGCCCATGAATCATGGGCACCCTGGGGGACGAAGGCAAGGCCCTGTATCCCACGTGGGCTCCCGAAAGGACATCCCCATCACTCACTTCCCGGTGGGCTAACCAGAAAGCTTGGGTTTTTGTCCACACCGCTCCTGTGTGGTGGGAAAGGGCCAGAGGAGGCCTCTGTTCCCAGCCTGCCAGGGGCCTCCACACCTCATCTGCACATGGCATGCAGTGTGCCTCGCTGCCCTGGTGCACACTGATGTGTGCACAGATACACCACACACACTACACACTCAGCTTGTCCCTGGGTGGCTGCCTGCTCCTCCCTCTGCCACCCTGCAGCCCGAGCAGCTGGTCGGGAGGCGCATGTGAGGTCGCAGGACGCCGGTGTACCCTTGGGAGATCTTGTGTCCGGCTCAGAGGCTAGGGGAGCACACGCGGCCCTTTGCACCTCAGATAAAACCTGTGGAGTTCACCGTCCAAGCCGTCGTCACCACGTCGGACCTGGAACTCAACCCCTCGGAGGTGGACTTTGGCTACTGCACCGTCTATGAGGCCATCAGGACGGAAATCAACCTCAGCAACCACTCACTGCTGCCCCAGATGTTCGGCTTCGTCGGCCTCCCCAAGGTGCACGGGGGTGGGGCGCTGGGCGTCAGGCAGGACACAGACACTGGGCCCGGCCACTCACTCCCTGTCCACATGGCTGCAGCCTCCCCCGCCCTCGCCCCTTCCAGCTCCCTCCCTTCCTGACTTCAGTACTTGCCATGCCTGGACCCCACAGAGGACGCCCAGGCCCATGCTCTCTGCACACGTCCACCCCTTACCGCTCACCTACACATGCACTCACCCATCCTTCCACTGGAACGCACGCATGCACAGACACAGACACTGGCACACACACTTGCACACGCACTCGCCTACTCTCCCACTGGCACACCACACACACGCACACACGCATGCACGCACTCGTCCACCCTCCACTCACCCACACACACACACATTCTCCCACACACAGTAACACCCAGGACTGCCACACGTACACTCATTTAGCTCCTTGAGGGGACAAGGTTGAGAGAGTCTCACTGTGTAGCCTGGGCTGGCTCAAAGAGCGCCCTCCTTCCCCAGCTCTGAGTCCTGGGACCAGCGGCATACCCTGCCACAGCAGCGCACACTGGCCCTCAGAGCCATGCCGCTTCCCTGGGGCATGCGGTTTTTAACTGTGGTGCTGATGGTTCCAATTTCCTAGTTTGTGGATATCCAGCCCAACGATGGGTTTGGGACAATCATGCCACTGGAGACTTTGCAATTTGATGTGATCTTCCAGCCTGCCAAGGCCAGAGAGTACAACTTCGAGCTGGTCTGCAAATCTGAGATAAATAGGTAAGCCTGTGAGGCAGAGAGGATGTGGGGACGTGGTCCTGCTCTGAAGAGGCAGCCTTTCCCCCTCCTCCCCGGCCTGCCCCCACCCACCTACTCCCTACCCCTCCCCACCACTTGCCCTGGATCTCACCAGGCTGACCACAGAGCAGGGTGGAGCGGAACTGGGTGGCACTGCTGGCTGGCAGGAGCCTCAGCCCAGGGTACATTTGGCCTTCCACAATGGACCAGTGGAACTTATGTGTGCATGGATACACACATGAGTGTGTGCACATGAGCATGAATGTGCATGTCTCTGAGCATACACTATGTGACCGTGTATGCAGTATGTGATCATGTATGCATAAGCATGCATGGACATGAGTGTTAGAGCATGTGTGCAAATGTGGGTATAAATGTGAGCATGCATGTCTGTGTACATGGTGTGAACATGTTTGAAAGTGCAGTGAGCATGTGTGCATGTGAGTGTATGCATTGTGAATGAGTGAACACATGCACAAACATGGGTGTGTGACTGGGCATATTTATGAGTGTGCGGTGACCAAGCATGTGTGTGAACATGACTGCACACATGTTTGTGCAGAAACATGCACACACATGTGAATAGCATGTGAACACGTGAATACTCAAGTGTGAGCATGTGTGAAAATGCATGCGTGTGAACACGCAGTGAAAGTGTATAACCACACTTGGTGTAAATGAGAGTGCATACAAGCATGTATCTGTATTGTTGGTCGTGGGGCCTGAACTCGGCCTGGGCGTTGCCCCTTAGCTCTTCAGCTCAAGGCTAGCACTCTACCACTTGAGCCATGGGGCCACTTCCGGCTTTTTCTGCTTATGTGGTGCTGAGGAATTGAACCAGGGCCTCATGCATGCGCTCTACCACTGAGCCACCTTCCCATCCGTGCACACCAGTTTATATGAGCGTGCAAGTGAGTTTCCTATACAGATATGTGAGTTTGCTGTGTATGATTGTGAGCACAGGGATGTGATCCTGGAGCATGTGTGGGTTAGACGCAGGCACACAGCCACCTGGAGTCACCCGCTCCCCGGAGAAACAGAAGTGGATGCGGGCAGTGCCGCCAGGTCAGCTGGAGGCTGCTCCTCCCTGCTGAGGGCATCTCACTCACTGGTGGCTGTTGTGACACACTGGGCTATTTGCAGCTCAGACTCTAGAAAAGGAGACTCTGAAGGACCATTTCTTCCCTTCGCCCACTGGGGACTTGGGGAGAGGCCCTGGGAGGTCGCTGAGGTGTATTTCATTACATAAGGGAGGCTGATGTGGAAACTGAAGCTCTAAAAGTTGAGCTGGAGGTGTTGTGTGGTCACAGGGAGCCCCCGGGAGGAGGGGAGAGCAGGTGGACTGGCGTCATGGCTTGGGACTGCAGCAAGTAGTCCGCTGGGACAGGCCGCCTGCCCACGCCTCTGCTGTCCCCCCGCCTACCCCATCAGCCACAATGCTAACGGGATGGCAACTCCTTCTGTTCTATTGCCCAGGCCTTCAGCTGTGCTTTGTGGTAGGGGCTAGAGCTCCTGTGCCTCCCTTCAGCGATGTCCTTTAGGCCTTTATTGACGTTTTCATGGTGTCTACCCCCTCGTTAATATTCTTTCATTCCCTTCATTGAACTACTCATAGTGTGTCTTCTAATTGATGCCATATTGAACGTCATGTATTGTCTTTGTCATTTCATTCGCCTTTTATCCTCCCATTTGCTCTTTGTATTCTTCTGGCTGTTCCAGGATCTGCTCCGTCCTTCCATCAGCCAGTTCCCTCGTGATCGTTGCTTTTCTTTTCCTCTCTTCCTCTTCCCTCTCGCTAGAGTCCTCCCCTGAGTTATGGTCAGTTTTGTGTGTGGCATGTTGTGTTGATAGTTCATGAACTTCATGACCATTCACTCTGATTCATGCATCTGGATTCCGTGTAGGAGTTCTGTTGGGATGGGGTGCAGTGACGGGAGAATGCAGCTGTCAGTTGAGAAGGTCGGGTTGTGGGGGCAGGGGAGGGTGTGGAGGGGGTATTTTACCAGGGAGATCCATGAGGACAGGGAAAGGCGGGAGTCGCCCCTGCATCAGAAGCCCTGTGAGTCCTGCAGCCACCTCCCGGCCACGCTTGGTGTGAGTGTGTCTGCTGTGACTGCTGTGTGTCGGTGAGGCTGGCTGGGAAAGCTCCCAGACCAGAGCCTGCGGCCGCTGTGACCAGTGTGGCTACACTGCAGGAGTCCTCTGCTAAGCACCCCTCAGCAGTCTTTTCTCTTGGTTGGTGTGAACTGGAGCTCTCTCTCTTGTAGTCTGTTTGGTGCACTCTCTTGAAGTGGAGTTGTGTGCCAAAGGCCTCCATCTCTGTGATCAGAGGGAGCCTGGTTCATCCTGGTCCCAACTCTGCCATCTTGATTCTTCTGGCCTAGGCTCTACCTTGGAGTCACCAAATCAGTCACACGCGCATCCCTCACAGGGTGGGGCCTCCCTCCCGTCAGTGCCCCTGCCCTGTGCCTTTGTCAGAGTCAACTGACTTTGTCAGTGTGGTCTCCTTCCTTCTCTTCGGTTCCTTACAAGAGACCAGGGCTGGGAAGGTGGCTCAGTGGTAGAGCACTTGCCCACCATGCATGAAGCCCTGGGTTCCATTCCTCAGGACCACTTACACAGAAAAAGCTGGAAGTGGTGCTGTGGCTCAAGTGGTAGAGTGCTAGCCTTGAGCAAAAGAAGCTCAGGGACAGTGCCCAGGCCCTGAGTTCAAGCCCCAGGACTGGCAAAAAAAAAAAAGGGTGACTTTTGAGTTTTATTTATGATTTTGTGCCTATAATAGGGCTTGAACTCTCATGTGTCTTTTCTGCTTAAAGCTGACACGGTATCCCTTGATCCACAGCTTCACTTCTGGCTTTTTGCTTGTTAACTGCAGATAAGAATCACAGACTTGGGCTGGGAAGGTGGCTCAGAGGTAGAGCGCTTGCCTTGCATGCATGAGGCCCTGGGTTCGATTCCTCAGCACCACATAAGCAAAAAGAAAAAAAGCCAGAAGTGGCGCTGTGGCTCAAGTGGTAGAGCGCTAGCCTTGAGCTGAAGAGCTGAGGGACAGTGCCCAGGCCCAGAGGTCAGCTGAGCCCCATGACCGGACCCTAAATAAATAAATAAATGTCTAACACAAACCAGAAATACACAAGGCTAGTGTATCTTCCCAGGTTGTTATCAAAACTCTGGCAATGCAGGCACAAGTCCTGTGTCCCTGTGGCATGGCCAGCCCTCCTGTCCCATGGGCCAGCACCTTGCTCAGGCGCTCATGGGCTCCTGCACTTGGGCCGAGGAGCATCGACAGCCTGACACTGCCTCCCTGCCTCCCTCATCCCGCCCGTCACAGACAGCCTGACACTGCCTCCCTGACTCCCTCACCCCACCCTGTCACTGCCAGCCTGACACTGCCTCCCTGACTCCCTCACCCCACCCTGTCACTGCCAGCCTGACACTGCCTCCCTGACTCCCTCACCCCGCCCTGTCACTGCCAGCCTGACACTCCCTGACTCCCTCACCCCGCCCTGTCACTGGCAGCCTGACACTCCCTGACTCCCTCACCCCACCCTGTCACTGCCAGCCTGACACTCCCTGACTCCCTCACCCCGCCCTGTCACTGCCAGCCTGACACTCCCTGACTCCCTCACCCCACCCTGTCACTGCCAGCCTGACACTGCCTCCCTGACTCCCTCACCCCACCCCGCCACTGCCAGCCTGACACTGCCTCCCTGACTCCCTCACCCCGCCCCGCCACTGCCAGCCTGACACTCCCTGACTCCCTCACCCCACCCTGTCACTGCCAGCCTGACACTGCCTCCCTGACTCCCTCACCCCGCCCTGTCAGACAGCCTGACACTCCCTGACTCCCTCACCCCACCCTGTCACTGCCAGCCTGACACTGCCTCCCTGACTCCCTCACCCCGCCCTGTCACTGCCAGCCTGACACTGCCTCCCTGACTCCCTCACCCCACCCTGTCACTGCCAGCCTGACACTGCCTCCCTGACTCCCTCACCCCACCCTGCCACTGCCAGCCTGACACTCCCTGACTCCCTCACCCCACCCTGTCACTGCCAGCCTGACACTCCCTGACTCCCTCACCCCACCCTGTCACTGCCAGCCTGACACTGCCTCCCTGACTCCCTCACCCCGCCCTGTCAGACAGCCTGACACTCCCTGACTCCCTCACCCCACCCTGTCACTGCCAGCCTGACACTGCCTCCCTGACTCCCTCACCCCACCCTGTCACTGCCAGCCTGACACTCCCTGACTCCCTCACCCCACCCTGTCACTGCCAGCCTGACACTGCCTCCCTGACTCCCTCACCCCGCCCTGTCACTGCCAGCCTGACACTGCCTCCCTGACTCCCTCACCCCACCCTGTCACTGCCAGCCTGACACTGCCTCCCTGACTCCCTCACCCCACCCCGCCACTGCCAGCCTGACACTGCCTCCCTGACTCCCTCACCCCGCCCTGTCACTGCCAGCCTGACACTCCCTGACTCCCTCACCCCACCCTGTCACTGCCAGCCTGACACTGCCTCCCTGACTCCCTCACCCCACCCCGCCACTGCCAGCCTGACACTCCCTGACTCCCTCACCCCGCCCTGTCACTGCCAGCCTGACACTCCCTGACTCCCTCACCCCACCCTGTCACTGCCAGCCTGACACTCCCTGACTCCCTCACCCCACCCTGTCACTGCCAGCCTGACACTGCCTCCCTGACTCCCTCACCCCACCCTGTCAGACAGCCTGACACTCCCTGACTCCCTCACCCCACCCTGTCACTGCCAGGTGCTTCAAGGTCTCCTGCCGGGCCGTGGGGGTCCTCCCACCCCTGGAGCTGTCCCACTACCAAATCAAGTTCCCAGCCACCCCACTGTATGACACTTCTGTGGCCACGCTATACGTCATCAACTCTCACCTGAGCATGAACAAGCTGACACACTCCCTGCCCCGCATCGGCTCGGAGGAAGCCACCCCTGTGGGCCCGACGTCGTTTGAGTTCCTCCCGCCCCCCAACTCACCCATCACCATCTCACCTTTAGTGGGGACTGTATTGCCAGGAAAGGTAAGTATGGGCCTGTGTGCAGGCCTACCTTAAACCGCAGGGATTCAACCCAGGCAGGGCCAAGAGCCTGGACGCACTCTACGCACCTGACCCAACAGTCAAGAGGCACTGCCTGGGGCTGCAAGCAGGGGTAGACCCTGAGTCCATGAGCTAGCTTTTTGCTAGCTACTTAGATAGGTAGAATGACAGCTAAGAGCAAGAAAGCTGGCTTTCTTGCTGGCTGTTTTTTGGGTTTTTTTTTTTGAGGGGGGGGTCCGGTAGTGGGGCCTGAACTCTGGGCCTGGGCGCTGTCCCTCAGCTCTTCAGCTCAAGGCTAGCACTTTAGCCACAGCACCACTTCTGGCTTTTTTCTTTTTGCTTATGTGGTGCTGGGGAATCAAACCCAGGGCCTCAGGCATGCAAGGCAAGTGCTCTACCACTGAGCCAACTTCCCAGCCCGGCTTTCTTGCTGGACTCACACCACTGGCAGGCCCTGGGCACTCAGGCCACTGTCCAGCTCCACCCAGGGCCCTTCTGCCTAATCCATACCAGGGAGTTAAGGGGCACAGTCATTTAGCCCAGGACTAGAAGCTCACATCTGCGATCCTAGCTACTCAGGAGGCTGGGATCTGAGAACTGAGGGGGTTTTTTGTTTTCATTTGTCTTGTTGGTTTTGGTGGTGGTGGTTGTTGTTGTTGTTGTTGTTGTTTTTGGTAGGTCATAGGGCTTGAACTCTGAGCCTGGGCGCTGTCCCTCAGCTCTTCAGTTCAAGGCTAGTGCTCTACCACTTGAGCCACAGCGCCACTTTCAGTTTTCTGAGCAGTTTATTAGAGATAAAAGTCTCATGGACAAAAAATATGCCTGGGCTGGCTTTGAACTGTGATCCTCATATCTCAGCCTCCTGAGTAGCTAGGATTACAGATGTGAGCCACCAGCCCCTGGCTTGAGAACTGAGGTTTGAAGCCAGCTGAGGAAGCAAAGTTCTTGAGACTCTCATCTCCAATTAACCACCAAAAAGCCAGAAGTGAGGCTGAGGCTCAACTGGTAGAGACACCAGTCTTGAGTGAAAAAGCTAAGGGACAGTGCCCAGACCCTGAGTTGAAACCTCAGAGCTAACTCACATAAATACACGCATGTACACGTGTGTGCATGCACATACACACACACACACAGGAAATACAATTCTTTCATTAAGTTTATCAAATGCATTTGTCACTGTCCTATCCCACAGGGGGTGGCTGTGGTTTGTGTGCCCTGTCCAGGCCTCCTGCCCACATGGCCGCATCCCTCTCTTCCTTCTCCTCTCCTTTCCTCCTTCCACTCTTCTCTTCCAGTCACCCCTCTTCTCTCTCTGCCCTCACATCACCCCCTCCACCCTGGCCTTCTGGAGCTCTGGGGAACGTCAGCCAGCTGCGATGGGCCAGGGCTAGGCCCTGAGCTGAAGGGACTTGCTGGACTTGGTAGACTTAGTCAGTGGATTTCCACATTGCCAGGCTCATTTATCTTATGTGTGTCTCCTGCTGCTGAGACTTGAACTTGGTTCCTCTTGCTCTGCTCAACTTTCTTGCGCATAGCTGGCACTCGAATTGTTGAGCCATACCTCCAGTCCAGCTTTTTGCTAACTAATTGGAGACAGAGCCTCATGGACTTTTCTGCCCGGAAATCTTCCAAGTCCTTATCTCCCAAGTGGCTAGGACTACAGGCATGAGCCAGTGGTACCTGGCTCCATGTTTGTTTCTTGCTGGGCCTTCTAACAGTATGTGGTGCTGATCCATCCAAGAGTCTGCACTCAGCATTTGTCCCACAAGACCCTATCCTATGTCAGGAAGCAGCCCACCCACCCCAGGTCCTACAGGCCCTGGCCAAGACCATTAGCCTGGGCTGACCTGCCCAGGAGGATCTGGACTGGGTGAAAAAGGAGGAAGACTGAGGCCCACCACTGCCCTTGGGTCCCTGCGTCTCCCCACAGCGATGCCTGGTCCAGGTATCCTTCAGGCCTGTGCTGTCCCACGAGGTGATCGTGGAAGAAACCATGCAGATCATGACCAAGGAGATGGAAAGCAAGGTGGTGAGTGCAAACTCATGGGACCGCCGGGGCCTCCTGGGTAGCTTGGGGTGGGGTGTGCACTGAGGGGCGTCCATGCCTAGGACCAGCCCTCAATCCTCAGCCATCTCCACAGTGTACCCACCCTGTCTCCATTGCTTACCCCCCTCCACCGGCAGTCAGCCTTCCCGAGGGCTTCCTTGGTTCTGGGGCCTTTGGCTCCACACCTCAGCCTGAGGCTCCCATAATTCCAGAGTTGGCCAGGCCTTTTGGGCTGGCTCTGGAAGAGCGGGTGGTGGGAGCCTCCGGGCCAGGTGGCAGGTTCCCTGGGAAGCCCACAGTGGCCTCTGCTCCCTCAGTTCCGGAAGGACACGTTTGCCCTGAAGAAGGACCTGTGGAAGCAGACAATGTCCGCAGTTCGGATACACACGAAGGACCGGCCGACCCGCATGTCCATTTCCCATGTGGCAGCATTACAAAAGCAGGGGCCTGTGAATAGGTGGGCAAAAGGACTGCCCCATCCTGTCTGGCCCGGCTTCCACAGCTGCCACCAGGCCCCAGTGATCCCACAGAGGACCTGGGCACAGGGCGCAGCCTGGTGGCTGGAGCCCAGGAGGGACCGGCCTCAGACACGGACACAGCTGCTGTTCCCGTCCACACCTCCCCACCGGCTCCCACACACTCCATACCTGATGCCAGCCCTCCTAGGGCCCAGGGCCACCCAGAAGGCCCTCAGGGCCCTGGACCCCCTGCCAGCACTGAACATGCCTGTGTGGACCTGGGAATACAACTCTGTAGTTTAGTGTTTAAGCCACTACCTCCCCTGTCCTGAGCAGTACCCTGGAGCAGGAAAGGTCCCCACAAAAGCCACCAAAAATGCCAGGCTGTCAGACAGAGGCAAGCAGCCATTACCTAGGCCCTGGGGTGGCCTCAGGCTGCTGCCTGGAGCACCTTTGGACTTCCCCAGAGGACAGTCTGACCAGACTCCTAGGGTGCAGGTGTGGCTCCTGGACCCCCTCTCTCCATGGGGCCAAGGTGCTGGTTCCATGCTAAGACACCCCAGAGGCAGAGACTGCGTGGGCGACCCAGGTGCCGGGGTCCCAGGGTCCCAGCATGAGTGCCCTGTGCGGCTCATTCCAGTTCCATCCAGTATGAAGTTGCCAAGGCCAACCTGACCAGAAATTTCCAGGGGAAGTTCGACAAGTTTGTGGTCCCCTGCGTCGTTGCCAGTGGTGACATCAAAGACTGGAAGGCATCAGAACCTTTGAACTTCAGGTAAGGCATCCAGGGGTCTGGGGGGCCTGGCCAGCTAGGCAGGACGGACCACCTCCCCGCTACTGCCCAGACCTGCCACCCTGACCTGCCCGGCCCTCAGCATGCCCTGTCCCTCCCAGGTCCCAACCAGCACCCTGCACTGGAGCTCTGGTGTCCACCCTGCCCTGTCCCTCCCAGCCCCCACCACACTCTGTACCTGGAGCTCTGGTGTCCACCCCTCTCTGTCCCTCCCAGCCCCCACCACACTCTGTACCTGGAGCTCTGGTGTCCACCCCTCTCTGTCCCTCCCAGCCCCCACAACACTCTGTACCTGGAGCTCTGGTGTCCCACAGTGGCACCACCAATCATCGTGACTTCTAGCCGAGGCCAGACTGTCTTTGACTTTGGAGACATTGCTGTGGGTGAGTCTGATGGGGCCCTGGCACCGCCCCATCCCTCCCAGGGCCTTTCCTTCTGGCTCCCATCCCAGCAACCCCAGCCACTGCCAACTCCCACACAGCCCAGGAGAGATTCCTTGCACCCAGGGCTGAGGCTGGGGGTCCCTCCCCTATTGCAGGACACCGGGGCATCATGAAAGTCTCTCTGCAGAACATCTACCCCGAGGACCTCTATGTATCCTTTTCCACATGGGCTCGGGCACGGGCTCCAAGGGAGGTGGAGGCTGGGGATGGGAGGCTTGGGACAGACCGCACCAGAGTCCTGCCTCCCTCCTTGACGCCTGGCCTCAGGTGGAGTACTCGGTACTGAACCCCAGTGGCCCCTTTGTGCTCCTGAACCCCTCCAGCAAGCTGCGCTCGGGAGAGACGCAAGTCCTGGAGCTGTCCTTCTCGCCCCACGAGAGCATCATGGTGAGCGCCAGCCCCGGGCAGTCCACGCCCCACCTCTGCGCTCCCGACCCCTGTGGGCACCCGGGCAGTGCCGGCCTGAGCCCCCCACGCTCCAGACCACAGTGGGGGTCCACGCAGTGCCGGGCCTGACCCCCTGCGCTCCCGACCCCTGTGGGAGGCCAGGCGGCTGGCTCCACACTCCTGGCGCAGCATCCACACAGGCCTGTGCTCCACACCTCTGGGAGGCAGCAGCATGCCAAGCCCGAGCTCAGGGGCAGAGCTCCCCCGCCCATGGGCATCTGCTCTTTAGGCTCAAGAGACGCTGAACATCATCACCAAGAGAGGCACCCTCACGCTCACCATCATGGGCACTGGCGTGGCGTCCATGATCACCTGCTCCATCGAAGACAACGTCCTCAACATGGGCTACGTCATCGCCAGAGAGTCTGTCTCCTCCAGCTTCAAGGTGCCATGTGTCCCGGGCCCTGGCCCAGTCTCTGGGGAGCCTTACCCAGACCTGCTGGCGCCCTGTCCCTCTGTCCCGAGCTTGCACACAGCCCCTCTCACCCTCTCCTATGTTGCTACTCGAATACCTGCCCCTGGGACCTGGACTTGGGTGCCTCTGGCGAGAGGGTTTGCTGGCCTCCAAGGACAGGCCTTGCTGCCACATGGCCTCCCCACTGGTTTTCATGGCGGCCTGGCTTTGCTGGCTCTCCTGTGTGGGTCGCCCCAGCCTCTAGCTGGAGCGGCCCGGATCACCTGCCCGCCTGGGTGGGAGCCGGGACCAGTGCTTAAGATGGGCTCTGGACAAGGACGTGAGGGCAGGAGGGGCCTGGGCAGAGGTGTGGGTTCAGCTCTGGGAGCTCTCACGGACAGAGGAGGCGCAGGCCTGGCAGGGGCCGGGTAGCACCAGTGTGAGATACTGACACCAAGGGGGTGCCAGCAGCCCAGACCCTGCATGAGCGGCAGCATGGAGAACACAGCCAGATGGGCCTGGGAGCCATAATGCCACCTGGTCCCTAGTAGTATGACCCATTGAGCAGGCCTTGGGCACCAGCCCAGGCAGGCCTGCTTGGAGTGTGCTAGTGCAGCGAACTTGCTGTTGGCAGCTGCAGAACGACTCCTCCCTCCCCATCAAGTTCTGGGTCCAGCTGGAGAGCCTGTCCAGCACCAGGGCGGAGGCCCGGCAGAAGCTGCCTCAGTTTCTGACCTCAGTGGCTCAGCGGACAGAAATAGTTGGTGAGCTACTGTAGTTACTAGGGACAAGGCCACAGGGGCACAGGACCATGGAGAGAGGGGTGCCAAGTGAGGGGCAGGGAGGACGGGGACAGGGGCTAGGCCGGGAGGGCAGGCACGGCTCACTGTGCTGCCCGGCCACAGGCACGCAGAACCACAATGGCCAGAGTGTGTTCAGCGTGACACCGGTTGAGGGCCTCATGCTGCCAGGGAAGGCGCAGGACTTCACCGTGACCTTCAGCCCCGACCATGAGAGCCTGTACTATTCTGACCGGCTGCAGGTGGTCCTCTTCGAGAAGGTGGGCTGGGCCCAGCCGGCCCACAGTCCCACCCAGCCCTCTCCTGTGCTCTGCTGTCTTCAGAGCTGGGCCACCCTGAGCCAGACTCTGCCCAGCCACAGGGAGCAGGAACAGGGCATGGGGCAGGGCATGGGCTAGGGGCAGGGGCAGGAGACAGGGAGCGGGGACCGGGCACCGGCACAGCGGCGTGCTTCTCCTGCCCAGAGGGTCTCCCACAGGATCCTCCTGCAGGGCGCAGCTCGGGAGCACATGATGTTCGTGGAGGGCGGGGATGCGCTGGACGTGCCGGTAGAGTCCCTTACAGTGATGGCTACCTCAGATCCAGACCACAGGGAAGGTGAGCCCCGGCCTGTGGAGTGGGGGCAACGTCCGGCGTGGCCGGAGGACCCCAGACCCCACAGGACAGGGTGGAACCACGGGGGAGGCGGCAGGGGCTGCAGAGCCCTGGCAGGCAGGGTGGGTACTACGGGGTCAGAGTCCTGGGCAGCGCCCCTATTTCCTGGGCCTTGCAGCCAGACCCTGCCATAGAGGCCTTGCTTTCCAGAGTCTGATGAGCTGAAGCCCATCTTGGTGACCCTAGACTATGTCCAGTTGGACATGGACACACCAGCCCCACCAGCCACCCGGGAACTGCACGTGGGCTGTATCCGCACCACACAGCCATCTGCAAAGAAGGTGATTGAAGCACCTGGCACCCCTCAGACTCCATGCCTGGGTAACCCTGACCTCTCCTAGGCTTGCCCATCACTGGACTTGCTGGGGCTTCCTGCGGCAGAAGTCGGTGGCAGGCCAGCAGAGAGTTGAGGGGTGAGAGGTTGGGCACCTTCCTTCCAACCGAACCACAACCACCGCCTACCATTGGTGCCTGGCACCAATGGGACCCTGCTTCCTAGACAGGAGAATTCAGCCTGGACAGCCTCACTTGGCTGCAGCACAAGGGTTTCACCATAGAACCTTCCAGGGGCTCTGTGGAGCGAGGCCAGACCAAGACCATCAGCATCTCCTGGGTGCCACCTGCTGACTTTGATGTAGGTGCAGACCCCAAGATGGGCAGAGGGCCTGCGGGGGACCGTCCAAGGAGCGCCCTCAGGGCCATGGGACCCGGGAGGCAGGGCAGTGGGAGAGGCAGAGCCTCTGCCCAGGAGCTGCTGACAGAAGGTCCCTCCCTCCACCAGCCCGACCACCCTCTCCTGGCATGGGCCCTCCTGCAGCTCAGAGGGGACGTGAAGGAGACCTACAAGGTCATCTTTGTAGCCAGCGTTGTGACGGGGCCCTAGGACACGAGGTGCTCACTCTCAAGAGACCCCGTCCCAAACCTGCAGCCCCCCCAAACCCCCCTCCCGCACCCCAGACTGTGGGCCAGACCCAAACACACCCCTCCCAGAGGCCTGCGCCCCAGAGCCCTCCAAGTCCCAAGCCCACAAGGCCCTTACGGAGCCTTATATGAGACCTCTTCAGCCCTAGCCAGCTCCCAGCTGGGCCCCTCAGAGCCCCAGACCCACCATGCCCACACCTACACTGCACACAGCCACACCTACACACCCGCCAATAAACTCTGAGCCATCCGACAGCGACTGCAGTGTGGGGCTTGGACAGCATGGAGGAGGGACAGAGCCAGGAAAGCAGCCCTGCACGCGGGCATGCACACGAAGCACAGGCTCGTGGCCACACAGCACCTGTGACATGGGTCCGGCCTGGCAAGGACTTCCCGGACGGGGGAGGTCCTGTCGGGTCCAGCCTGGACCAGGGGGGCCCAGTCAGGCAGTGCAGGGGCCACAGCACTGCCTGTCAGCCCAGACATAGAGATGCAGGAAGAAGCAGAAGAGGCCCAGGGCTTCAAAGCCCACAGACTCCCTGGGAGCCCCTGGCTCCTCCCAGCTCCCAGGACCCCTGATGCCCCAGCAAGGGCAGGAGTGTGCAAAGATCAGAGGCCCAGCCCACGCCTGTCCTCCTCTGGCAGAGCCAAGCCAGAGGCCACGGTGAGGCTCAGGAGCTGTAGCTCTCGCTTCTCTGAGGAGCCAGGGTTTGCCCTGCAGGGAAGACCGAGTGGTGCCCGCAATACCCCGCTCCCCACTCCAGAGCACTCACCCACTGCCGTGGAGTCCAAGGGACACTTTGAGCAGAGCCTGCTCAGCGTGGTCCTCCAGTTGGCACAGCACACCCGTCCGGGGCCGGCACCGGGCGAGGAGATGCAGCCTCCCCTGGCCGGGCAGGACCACCTTGCTACCCACACTTGGTCTGACTGGCCACGGCCCCAGTCTCCTGCCAGCTTTCAGGCCCAAGGAGAGGAACAGGCAGTCCCGCCAGGCCAGGCCTCACAGGACATGTTCCAGGGGACACACTGTCCCCAGACAGGCTTCTCCCTGCTAACCCCAGGCCTGGATGTCCCACCCAGCCCCTCCTTTCTGCAGAGGCTCTGGCCCAAGCTTCAGGCTGGGCCATTTGTGTGGCTCCCCTCCCCTCCTGCTCCCCAGCTGGCCCCCCAGAGACAAAGCTCGGCCAAGGCAGTGGGGACGAGGAAGGAGGGCAGCAGCCAGCTTCAGTGACTTGGCTGGGGTTGGGCAGGAAGGAGAGGTCCTTGGGGGCTCATGGCAGGGCGGGACAACTGTAGGGAGCCCCCCAAAAGCCCTGCCTCTCTCCTGGTGGAGACAGCACACCCTTAACCCACTTCCCGACCCGTGCTGTGCCACCAGCTCCTTCAACCTGGTCACCAGACGGTGTGCTGCAGACCTGGCGGCAGTGTGGGGCAGAGGGAAGCAGGGCAGTAGACAGGACAATGGGCCCAGAGAGAGCAGGGGAAGAGCAAGGAGAAGAGCCAGCCAGCCCCAGCAGAATGAGAAGGCTTTGACAGCTGAAGGAGAGCCTAGTAGTGCCCTTGGCCAGTGGTCCGTGTCCAGTGCATCCAGGGCCCAGAGCAAGGCTCAGCCAGAGAGGCCTGGCCCGGGAGTGCCCACAGCAGAAGTCCCCAGCTCGGGTCCTGGGAGGACTCTCACTGAGTGTAACCCTCACTGGGTCCCTCCGTGGCCCCAGGTACCACACGGTGCTTCCAAACTGGGGGGCTGCAGGCCAGCGCCAGCGAGCTGCAGGGAGGCCTGAGCCGACCCCAGGGCCAGAGAGGAGCAGAGCAGGCTGCCCAAGGCCAGGGCCTGAGAGCTGCAGAGGAGACCTGGGGGCGGGGAAGGCGAGGGCGGGGCTACCAGGGTGCGCCTGTGGGCGTGGTGGGGCAGTCTGGTGGGCGTGGCCTTGCTCTGGGCTTGGCTGGTGGGTCTGCTCTTGTGGGGGTGGCAGAGGAACAGTCCTGAGGGTGTTGTTACTCTGGGTGTGGCAGGGGGAAGACCTGTGGGCGTGGCTATGGGCATGGGCAGTCCTAGGGGCGTGGCATCTGTCTGGGCGAGGCCAGTGGAGAGTCCTGTGGGCGGTGCCGCTCTGGGCGTGGTGCCGCTCTGGGCGTGGCCAGGGGGGGGAGCAGTCCTGTGGGTGTGGCCTTGCTCGGGGCTGGGGGGGCCAGCGCCCGGTGGGCGTGGCTTTTGGAGGCGTGATCTCGTAACCGACTGGTGGCATCCTTTGAGCCTGAAGTGGTGGAGGCCTGGCTCCCGCGCAGGCCCCAGCCTCAGCCACCAGTGGGGCCACAGCATGCGGTTTGGCACGCGGGGCGGGACAGCTGGGCCATAGCGCGGCCACGCCCTTCCGGCCGCCCCCCACTGGTCCCTGAGTCAGCAACTGCGACCTCTCGAGCCAGTAAGTGGGGGGCGGGTAAGTGCGGGGCGGGCGGCGGGCGGCGGGGAGGCCGCGCCGGCCCTGCCCGCTCCGCCCGCTCCAGGTGCCGCCCTTCCCGCAGGTGCCCCCCGCAGGCCCGCTGGAGCAGCCTGTGGCATGTGGGGTAAGTGACCCGGGCTCCGGGCTCCGAGCCGCGGCCCCTGCCCCCGGTGGGGGGGGACCCCGCGGTCAGCGAGGCCGGCGCAGCGGCAGCGGCCGCGGACCGGTGAGTCCAGGCAGAGCCCAGGCGCCGGCCAGCCCCACGGACGCCGGGCCGGCTGCGCTCCCGCCAGGCGGCGCTGGACACGGGGAGAGCTTCCTCGGTTTCTGCCCACCTGGCCTGTGGACGCCGTGGGCCCGGGCACGGGGGCGAGCTCCTCCCGGGCCTGGACGCCCTCAGCACAAAGGCGAGCTCCTCCGGGGCCTGGATGCCGTGGGCACGGGGGCGAGCTCCTCCGGGGCCTGGACGCCGTGGGCCCGGGCACGGGGGCGAGCTCCTCCGGGGCCTGGACGCCGTGGGCCCAGACTCGGGAGGCGAGCTCCTCCCGGGCCTGGACGCCCTCAGCACAAAGGCGAGCTCCTCCGGGGCCTGGACGCCGTGGGCACAGGGGCGAGCTCCTCCGGGGCCTGGACGCCGTGGGCCCAGACTCGGGAGGCGAGCTCCTCCGGGGCCTGGACGCCGTGGGCCCGGGCACGGGGGCGAGCTCCTCCGGGGCCTGGATGCGGTGGGTATGGACTCGGGAGGCAAGCTCCTCCAGGGCCTGGACGCCGTGGGCACGGGAGCGAGCTCCTCCGGGGCCTGGACGCCGTGGGCTCGGGAGCGAGCTCCTCCGGGGCCTGGACGCCGTGGGCCGGGCTCGGGAGCGAGCTTCTTCAGGGCCTGGTCACCCTCAGCTCGGGAGGCGTGCTCTTCCCTGACAGGCTCATGCTGATCACCATCCTGCTGCTGCTGCTCTGCGCGTTAATAGCTGCCTGCATCCGCATCTGCTGCTTCCAGAGGGAAGAAGCCCAACACATAGCTGCTACCACCACACCAGCCACATGTCCCGATGGTCATCCCTGCCACCAGTGACAGCCTAGGGCACGACCCTGTGACCTGTGACCGCCTGGTGGCCCACCAGGTGGGGGAGGGGATGTGCAGGAGCAAGCATATGAATGTGAACAGAGTGAATGAATTTTATCCCATGGAGGACCTGGGCACAGAGCACAGCCTCCACGGAGGACCTGGGCACAGGGCGCAGCCTGGTGGCTGGAGCCCAGGAGGGACCGGCCTCAGACACGGACACAGCTGCTGTTCCCGTCCACACCTCCCCACCGGCTCCCACACACTCCATACCTGATGCCAGCCCTCCTAGGGCCCAGGGCCACCCAGAAGGCCCTCAGGGCCCTGGACCCCCTGCCAGCACTGAACATGCCTGTGTGGACCTGGGAATACAAACAACTCTGTAGTTTAGTGTTTAAGCCACTACCTCCCCTGTCCTGAGCAGTACCCTGGAGCAGGAAAGGTCCCCACAAAAGCCACCAAAAATGCCAGGCTGTCAGACAGAGGCAAGCAGCCATTACCTAGGCCCTGGGGTGGCCTCAGGCTGCTGCCTGGAGCACCTTTGGACTTCCCCAGAGGACAGTCTGACCAGACTCCTAGGGTGCAGGTGTGGCTCCTGGACCCCCTCTCTCCATGGGGCCAAGGTGCTGGTTCCATGCTAAGACACCCCAGAGGCAGAGACTGCGTGGGCGACCCAGGTGCCGGGGTCCCAGGGTCCCAGCATGAGTGCCCTGTGCGGCTCATTCCAGTTCCATCCAGTATGAAGTTGCCAAGGCCAACCTGACCAGAAATTTCCAGGGGAAGTTCGACAAGTTTGTGGTCCCCTGCGTCGTTGCCAGTGGTGACATCAAAGACTGGAAGGCATCAGAACCTTTGAACTTCAGGTAAGGCATCCAGGGGTCTGGGGGGCCTGGCCAGCTAGGCAGGACGGACCACCTCCCCGCTACTGCCCAGACCTGCCACCCTGACCTGCCCGGCCCTCAGCATGCCCTGTCCCTCCCAGGTCCCAACCAGCACCCTGCACTGGAGCTCTGGTGTCCACCCTGCCCTGTCCCTCCCAGCCCCCACCACACTCTGTACCTGGAGCTCTGGTGTCCACCCCTCTCTGTCCCTCCCAGCCCCCACCACACTCTGTACCTGGAGCTCTGGTGTCCACCCCTCTCTGTCCCTCCCAGCCCCCACAACACTCTGTACCTGGAGCTCTGGTGTCCCACAGTGGCACCACCAATCATCGTGACTTCTAGCCGAGGCCAGACTGTCTTTGACTTTGGAGACATTGCTGTGGGTGAGTCTGATGGGGCCCTGGCACCGCCCCATCCCTCCCAGGGCCTTTCCTTCTGGCTCCCATCCCAGCAACCCCAGCCACTGCCAACTCCCACACGGCCCAGGAGAGACTCCTTGCACCCAGGGCTGAGGCTGGAGGTCCCTCCCCTATTGCAGGACACCGGGGCATCATGAAAGTCTCTCTGCAGAACATCTACCCCGAGGACCTCTATGTATCGTTTTCCACATGGGCTCGGGCACGGGCTCCAAGGGAGGTGGAGGCTGGGGATGGGAGGCTTGGGACAGACCGCACCAGAGTCCTGCCTCCCTCCTTGACGCCTGGCCTCAGGTGGAGTACTCGGTACTGAACCCCAGTGGCCCCTTTGTGCTCCTGAACCCCTCCAGCAAGCTGCACTCGGGAGAGACGCAAGTCCTGGAGCTGTCCTTCTCGCCCCACGAGAGCATCATGGTGAGCGCCAGCCCCAGGCAGTCCACGCCCCACCTCTGCGCTCCCGACCCCTGTGGGCACCCGGGCAGTGCCGGCCTGAGCCCCCCACGCTCCAGACCACAGTGGGGGTCCACGCAGTGCCGGGCCTGACCCCCTGCGCTCCCGACCCCTGTGGGAGGCCAGGCGGCTGGCTCCACACTCCTGGCGCAGCATCCACACAGGCCTGTGCTCCACACCTCTGGGAGGCAGCAGCATGCCAAGCCCGAGCTCAGGGGCAGAGCTCCCCCGCCCATGGGCATCTGCTCTTTAGGCTCAAGAGACGCTGAACATCATCACCAAGAGAGGCACCCTCACGCTCACCATCATGGGCACTGGCGTGGCGTCCATGATCACCTGCTCCATCGAAGACAACGTCCTCAACATGGGCTACGTCATCGCCAGAGAGTCTGTCTCCTCCAGCTTCAAGGTGCCATGTGTCCCGGGCCCTGGCCCAGTCTCTGGGGAGCCTTACCCAGACCTGCTGGCGCCCTGTCCCTCTGTCCCGAGCTTGCACACAGCCCCTCTCACCCTCTCCTATGTTGCTACTCGAATACCTGCCCCTGGGACCTGGACTTGGGTGCCTCTGGCGAGAGGGTTTGCTGGCCTCCAAGGACAGGCCTTGCTGCCACATGGCCTCCCCACTGGTGTTCATGGCAGCCTGGCTCTGCTGGCTCACCTGCCCGCCTGGGTGGGAGCCGGGACCAGTGCTTAAGATGGGCTCTGGACAAGGACGTGAGAGCAGGAGGGGCCTGGGCAGAGGTGTGGGTTCAGCTCTGGGAGCTCTCACGGACAGAGGGGGCGCAGGCCTGGCAGGGGCCGGGTAGCACCAGTGTGAGATACTGACACCAAGGGGGTGCCAGCAGCCCAGACCCTGCATGAGCGGCAGCATGGAGAACACAGCCAGATGGGCCTGGGAGCCATAATGCCATCTAGAGACTTGAGAGGTAGGGCTGGGAATGTTGCTTAGTGGTAGGGTGCTTGCCTACCATGTACGAAGCCCTGGGTTCCATTCCTCAGCACCACATACACAGGAAAAGCCGGAATTGGTGTGGGCTCAAGTGGTAGAGTGCTGGCCTTGAGCAAAAGAAATTCAGGGGCTGGGAAGGTGGCTCAGTGGTAGAGCACTTGCCTTGCATGCATGAGGCCCTGGGTTTTATTCCTCATCACCACATAAGCAAAAAGAAAAAAGCCAGAAGTGGTGCTGTGGCTAAAGTGCTAGCCTTGAGCTGAAGAGCTGAGGGACAGCGCCCAGGCCCAGAGTTCAGGCCCCACGACCGGACTCCAAAAAAAAAAAAAAAGAAGCTCAGAGACAGTGCCCAGGCCCTAGTTCAAGCCCCAGGATTGTCACAACAGAGAGAAAGAGAAAAAAAGAGAATTGAAGATTAGGAGAAGCTAGGCAACTTCATCCCCACCTCCCACCACCACCACTACTTCCTGGTGGTGTGCCTGGCCAAAGTCTCCAACCTGGCAGCTTCTTGCCTTTAAGACAGGTGACTCCAGCCTGCCCACCCTCACTTGGCTGAGGCACAAGGGCTTCTCCATAGAACCTTCCAGGGCTCTGTGGAGCGAGGCCAGACCAAGACCATCAGCATCTCCTGGGTGCCACCTGCTGACTTTGATGTAGGTGCAGACCCCAAGATGGGCAGAGGGCCTGCGGGGGACCGTCCAAGGAGCGCCCTCAGGGCCATGGGACCCGGGAGGCAGGGCAGTGGGAGAGGCAGAGCCTCTGCCCAGGAGCTGCTGACAGAAGGTCCCTCCCTCCACCAGCCCGACCACCCTCTCCTGGCATGGGCCCTCCTGCAGCTCAGAGGGGACGTGAAGGAGACCTACAAGGTCATCTTTGTAGCCAGCGTTGTGACGGGGCCCTAGGACACGAGGTGCTCACTCTCAAGAGACCCCGTCCCAAACCTGCAGCCCCCCCAAACCCCCCTCCCGCACCCCAGACTGTGGGCCAGACCCAAACACACCCCTCCCAGAGGCCTGCGCCCCAGAGCCCTCCAAGTCCCAAGCCCACAAGGCCCTTACGGAGCCTTATATGAGACCTCTTCAGCCCTAGCCAGCTCCCAGCTGGGCCCCTCAGAGCCCCAGACCCACCACGCCCACACCTACACTGCACACAGCCACACCTACACACCCGCCAATAAACTCTGAGCCATCCGACAGCGACTGCAGTGTGGGGCTTGGACAGCATGGAGGAGGGACAGAGCCAGGAAAGCAGCCCTGCACGCGGGCATGCACACGAAGCACAGGCTCGTGGCCACACAGCACCTGTGACATGGGTCCGGCCTGGCAAGGACTTCCCGGACGGGGGAGGTCCTGTCGGGTCCAGCCTGGACCAGGGGGGCCCAGTCAGGCAGTGCAGGGGCCACAGCACTGCCTGTCAGCCCAGACACAGAGATGCAGGAAGAAGCAGAAGAGGCCCAGGGCTTCAAAGCCCACAGACTCCCTGGGAGCCCCTGGCTCCTCCCAGCTCCCAGGACCCCTGATGCCCCAGCAAGGGCAGGAGTGTGCAAAGATCAGAGGCCCAGCCCACGCCTGTCCTCCTCTGGCAGAGCCAAGCCAGAGGCCACGGTGAGGCTCAGGAGCTATAGCTCTCGCTTCTCTGAGGAGCCAGGGTTTGCCCTGCAGGGAAGACCGAGTGGTGCCCGCAATACCCCGCTCCCCACCCGAGAGCACTCACCCACTGCCGTGGAGTCCAAGGGACACTTTGAGCAGAGCCTGCTCAGCGTGGTCCTCCAGTCGGCACAGCACACCCATCCGGGGCCGGCACCGGGCGAGGAGATGCAGCCTCCCCTGGCCGGGCAGGACCACCTTGCTACCCACACTTGGTCTGACTGGCCACGGCCCCAGTCTCCTGCCAGCTTTCAGGCCCAAGGAGAGGAACAGGCAGTCCCGCCAGGCCAGGCCTCACAGGACATGTTCCAGGGGACACACTGTCCCCAGACAGGCTTCTCCCTGCTAACCCCAGGCCTGGATGTCCCACCCAGCCCCTCCTTTCTGCAGAGGCTCTGGCCCAAGCTTCAGGCTGGGCCATTTGTGTGGCTCCCCTCCCCTCCTGCTCCCCAGCTGGCCCCCCAGAGACAAAGCTCGGCCAAGGCAGTGGGGACGAGGAAGGAGGGCAGCAGCCAGCTTCAGTGACTTGGCTGGGGTTGGGCAGGAAGGAGAGGTCCTTGGGGGCTCATGGCAGGGCGGGACAACTGTAGGGAGCCCCCCAAAAGCCCTGCCTCTCTCCTGGTGGAGACAGCACACCCTTAACCCACTTCCCGACCCGTGCTGTGCCACCAGCTCCTTCAACCTGGTCACCAGACGGTGTGCTGCAGACCTGGCGGCAGTGTGGGGCAGAGGGAAGCAGGGCAGTAGACAGGACAATGGGCCCAGAGAGAGCAGGGGAAGAGCAAGGAGAAGAGCCAGCCAGCCCCAGCAGAATGAGAAGGCTTTGACAGCTGAAGGAGAGCCTAGTAGTGCCCTTGGCCAGTGGTCCGTGTCCAGTGCATCCAGGGCCCAGAGCAAGGCTCAGCCAGAGAGGCCTGGCCCGGGAGTGCCCACAGCAGAAGTCCCCAGCTCGGGTCCTGGGAGGACTCTCACTGAGTGTAACCCTCACTGGGTCCCTCCGTGGCCCCAGGTACCACACGGTGCTTCCAAACTGGGGGGCTGCAGGCCAGCGCCAGCGAGCTGCAGGGAGGCCTGAGCCGACCCCAGGGCCAGAGAGGAGCAGAGCAGGCTGCCCAAGGCCAGGGCCTGAGAGCTGCAGAGGAGACCTGGGGGCGGAGAAGGCGAGGGCGGGGCTACCAGGGTGCGCCTGTGGGCGTGGTGGGGCAGTCTGGTGGGCGTGGCCTTGCTCTGAGTGTGTCCGGGACTGGGCAGTCCTGTGGGCGTGGCGTGGCGTTGCTCTGGGCGTGGCCGGGTGGGTCGGCTCGTGTGGGCGTGGCTTACGCTGGGGCGTGGTCTCTCGACGCGGTTGGACCCGCCCGGCGGCGAAGTTCGCGGGAAGATGGCGCCGCGCTCCTCCCTGGGACTCCTGCTGCTGCTCTGGCTGCTGCCGCTGCCGCAGGTGGGTCGGGCGGGAGGCGGAGCGCTCCTGGGGCGGGGCTCCGCACGGCCCCGCCCTCTGGCGCTCCTCACGCGTCTCCCCGCAGGTGTCTCTGGGTTCCGAGGACGAGGCCCCCTGCGACCCCTCGAGCCAGTAAGTGGGGGGCGGGTAAGTGCGGGGCGGGCGGCGGGCGGCGGGGAGGCCGCGCCGGCCCTGCCCGCTCCGCCCGCTCCAGGTGCCGCCCTTCCCGCAGGTGCCCCCCGCAGGCCCGCTGGAGCAGCCTGTGGCATGTGGGGTAAGTGACCCGGGCTCCGGGCTCCGAGCCGCGGCCCCTGCCCCCGGTGGGGGGGACCCCGCGGTCAGCGAGGCCGGCGCAGCGGCAGCGGCCGCGGACCGGTGAGTCCGGGCAGAGCCCAGGCGCCGGCCAGCCCCACGGACGCCGGGCCGGCTGCGCTCCCGCCAGGCGGCGCTGGACACGGGGAGAGCTTCCTCGGTTTCTGCCCACCTGGCCTGTGGACGCCGTGGGCCCGGGCACGGGGCGAGCTCCTCCGGGGCCTGGACGCCGTGGGCCCGGGGCCTGGACGCCCTCAGCACGGGGGCGAGCTCCTTCGGGGCCTGGACACCCTCAGCACAGGAGCGAGCTCCTCGCGGGCCTGGCAGCCGTCAGCAGGGGAGGCGTGCTGCTCCCTGACAGGCTCGTGCTGCTCACCCTCCTGCTGCTGCTGCTCTGCGGGGTCACGGCCAGCTGTGTGCGGTTCTGCTGCCTCCGGAAGCACATGCATCCGCAGACACACCTGCCACCCGCATGGCCACCCTGTGACCCGATGGGCATCCCTGGAGACAGCGACAGCCCAGCACACAGCACTGTGACCTGTGAGTGCCCAGTGGTCCACGGCCAGAGCGGGGCTGGAAGCTGAGGGGTGGCGGGGGTGGGCGGGGGGCAACGGTGAAAGTCGGGCTCCCTCCTCAATCCCACCCTGGTTCCTGCAGCTTACAGCTCTGTCCAGTACCCACTGGGCACGCTTCTGCCCCTGTCTTTTGGGGAGCTGGATCTTGACTCCATAGCTCCTCCTGCCTACAGCCTGTGTGTCCCTGAGCTGCCACCCTCTTATGACGAGGCCATCAAGACAAAAGCCAGAGAGGGAAACCTGGCTTCTTCCCAGAAACCAGGGCCTCTCCCTGGGGCCTCGAGTCTAGAAACCACTCCACAGCCCCAGGGGGCAGGGCCCAATGTCCAGCAGCCCTCGTAGCCCCTGGGCTCCTTGCAGGGGCTGGGAGAGCTCTTCTGAAGCTGTCAGACCAGCGGTGCCTGGGCCAAGGACCCGCCCACCCCACATCCTTTCCTTGGGAAGGCCAGCCATCCAGTACAGCACATTGCTGCAGACCTGGCCCCATTGCTATGCAATTCCAGCCAGTCCACCTGGCCCACACAGACCTGGCCCAACTTGGGGGCCCTCTGCCTGGAGTAGGCCCACAGGCCTGGGCCTTGGGGGTTCTGGGCCTGAGATGTTCTCAGTTTTTTGGAGAGAGAATAAAGTTTACATCCAAATTGTCTCTGCCTGTGTGGGAAGGGTTGTACAAGTGCAGGCAGGGCAATCTTGTGGGCCATCTGACCTCCAGATGTGGGAGATGGAAGAGGTCAGGTGTTGTAGCGGAAGTGATCAGGATCACCTGCTGGCTGGTACCCCCACGCAGCGCCTTCCTCCTCTCCAGATAGGGACAGTGAGGCAGAGTCAGCAGACTCAGCTTGACTCAGAGCTGGAGGGCTGGAGGCGGGAGGGCAACAGTGGGCGGCGGCTGGCCGGCCCAGACAAGGGTCTCCTAGCTGTCACAGCTGTCCCCCGCACCGCTGCGAAGGACTCTCCAGTCATCACGGCCACAAGTTCTGGGGACAGAGGAGCAAGGTCAGTGGCTGCCCTGGCCAGCTGCACAGCTCCCACCGCTAAACCCACGCTTCAGAGTGGATGGTTCCACCCTGTCTCTGTCAGCCTCCCGCATCTGTTCCGCCTCCACCCCCAGGGGCACCCCTCCCCCCGTCACAAGCACAGCCAGCCCCCCTCCCGCTCAGGATACCCACAGTGTCCACCCGCTGCCCAGGCCCAGAACACTCACAATGTCCACCCGCCGCCCACAGCCAGGCCCTACTTCAGGGTGTTCCTGTCCATGTCACCCTTGCTTTCTTTGTCAAAGATCTGGAAAGCTGCCCCCAGCTGCCCTCAGCTGCCCTCCTGGCTCTTGGCTTTCTCGTAGTAAATGCCCAGCAGGGCCAGGAAGCCGCCACAGTTGAAGAACCCTTTGTCTGAAAGGAGTTTTTGTTGTTGTTGTTTTGGTCAGTTGTGGGGCTTGAACTCTGGGCCTCGGCGCTGTCCCTGAGCTCTTCAGCTCAAGGTGAGCACTCTACCACTTGAGCCACGGCGCCACTTCTGGTTTTCTAGTGGTTTATTGGAGATAAGAGTCTCACAGACTTTCCTTTCTGGGCTGGTTTTGAACTGCGATCCTCATATCTCAGCCTCCTGAGTAGCTAGGATGATAGGCATGAGCCACTGGTGCCTGGCTGGAAGGAGTTTTGCCAGCCCAGGGGCTTAAGTGAGGGCTGTTCCGGGTTTCACTTCCCTGCCCCGTAGGGACTCCATTTCTTCTTTGCAGTCACCCACACAGACCAGAGCTGTACCAGCCACCCAACAGCCACCTTCCCTGGCTCACTGTCTTGGTCTGTGTCCTTGGCCATAGAGACCAGAGCGCTCCTGTGGGCCTCACACCTGTCATCCTGGCTACTTAGGAGGCTGAGATCTGAGGATCAAAGCCAGCCCGGGCAGGAAAGTCATGGTAGAGAACTTGCCTTGAGCTGAAGAGCTGAGGGACAGCACCCAGGCCCAGAGTTTAAACCCCACAAACAAGAAACAAAGAAAACCTCCGGCTGTGGCACCCACTGCACCATGTGCGCTGCCCACGGGAGCCTGGTGCACTGCCCTGCATTACCCCTGACCCGGCCAGTACGGTGAGGTGGCTCAGCACCCAGGGAGCCTTTGGTGGGCTGGGTGGGTCACGCTAAGAGCTGAGAGAAGCAGCTGGGAAAGTCCTCTGGGCAAAGAGCATGGTTACAACCAGTACCTGCAGGTAATGAGGGGGGAGCCTGGCGGGTGGCGGCCTGGATGACAACGGAAGGGGGGCCACGGTGAGGGCCGAGCCAGCCTCTGCCAGCAGCATGCCCTTTCCCAGAGCTGGTGAGCGCCCCCAGGGACTTATGCTGCCGGGCGGGAGAGGCGGCTGGGTGCTGCATGCATCCCCGCTGGCCCCTGCAGGTCTGGAGGCCTTCCCTGGGAGCCTGAGCCCGGATGCCGGGCTCCCCCTGCACTGCTCCCAGAGTTCTTCGCCCACCATCTCCTGCGAGCCACTGCCTTGGCGTCGGGGCCCAGCCCGGCCTTGGCCTTGCAGCCCTGCGCTTCCTCCCGTGCCTGGCCTCTGGGTGTCTCCATCTTGTCTCCTCTGCTGGGCCCTGCCTTCCTGTGCCCTTTTTCCAGAGTTTTGCCCACACTGACACCCTTCATTGCACCTTGTTCTGGAACCCTGCTCTGCTATGGTGGACCTCCATCCTCCATTTTTTTAAACCTATTCATCTGGAAGAGCAGCTCTGGCAGACGGGGTGGGGGTGGGTCTCTCCTACCCTCCCCCCCACCCATGGATGGAGGGACAGTGCAGCCCCCCAGGGTATTTGTCTCCTGCAGACAGAGGGCCTGCCAGCTGAGCAGATTAAGGACCACAAGGCATCTCTGAGATGTTTGAGGAGGAGGGCGACGGGCAGGTGAAGATGCGTGAGCTCAAATCTCTCACGAGCCTGCTGGCCACAGCTGGGTTTGAGCTGGGCCCAAATGCCCATGGTCCCTGGGGTCCAGATTCCAAAAACCTTTTGGGGGTGGGAAGTCCTGTGGCCCTAATTTGGGACAGGCTTGGCCCGTCCCCCAGGGACCCTTTTGTCCCTCCTTGGCCTGTCATCCTCATCGTGAAGATGAGGGCCAGGGCAGGGCAGGGCAGGGGGAGGGGTTGGCTCCCACCAGGCTCCCACTGTCCTCCCCCTGTGCCACCTCTAGTCCACCTCCCAGAGGACCAGCCCTCTCCTGTGAGACTTCTCCTGAAAGGCCACAGGTGTGAGCTGGCCTGGCTTCCTGCCACTGTCCCAGGCCCCATACCGCCTGCATCTCAGACGGCCCTGCGGACCACAGGTCAGTGTCAGCATGTGGACTGTGCCAGGACTCGGGGAGCCGGGGCTGACCCCCTGGGTCACGGCTTCTGGGAGGCAGGCAGGGGCTATTCTGGGCTTCCTGGGAAACCTGATCTCTGTTCCACTCAGAATGGCAAAGCCGGCTCCCTGGAGAACCATGTGCCCAGGCTGGTCACTCAGCAGGACACAGACCCTCTGTGCCAGGTGCAAGCAGCAGTGCTCTCAGACCCACCTGGCTCTCACCGCCAGGCAGCAGCTCTGACCCCCAAGGGTCTTCATGGCCCCCTCTTTGGCATCCTGAAGCCCTGTTAACTGAAGGGCTCCTCCCCCACTCACCTCCAGGACACTCACACGTGCCCCACGCACACGTGCGCCCTGGCCAGCGGCTGCCTGTGTGTCCTCTGGCAGCCCCACCCTTTGCCTACGGGGATGCCCAGGGCTGTGGGGTGCGTCCTGCTCAGGCCCAGGCCAGCGCTGAGGCTGAAGGAGGCATGTGGTGGGGGTGGGGCAGCCAGGGGACAGCACATCCATTTCTCAGCAGAGGCCAGAGCAGGGACTTCAGAAGAAACCAGCTCTGTGTTTGCTAGACACCGGATGAGCCTATACCTCATCTGGGCTGCAGTCTGGCCCATTTTCTGCCAAGTGGGAGGGGTACCTGAAAGTGCACGCTCTTGCACACAGGACTGAATGGGAGCAGCAGGGTACAGACAAGTTCACGAGGCCTGGACACTGCACCAGTCTCTCTCACATGCTGTGGCTCTCAGCCGTGGCAACAGGCTCAACTTCCCGCATCCTCCGTTCTGTCTCATGACATCCCTGCACTGTAGCACTGAAGCTTCCAGACAATACACACATAAAGCCAGTTAACTACTGAAAGCCTGAAGTGGAAATGTGACTCAAGTGATAGAGCATTAGCCATCAGCTCAGAGACAGGGCCCAGACCTTAAGTTCAAGCCGCAGGACTGGTGTGCACGCACACACACGCACGCACACGCACGCGCACACACTTCTTTCTGTTTTTTGTTTTGGTCGGTTGTGGGGCTTGAACTCTGGGCCTGGGTGCTGTCCCTCAGCTCTTCAGTTCAAGGCGAGCGCTCTACCACTTGAGCCACAGCGCCACTTCCGGTTTCCTGGTGGTTTATTGGAGATAAGAGTCTCACGGACTTTCCTGCTCGGGCTGGCTTTGAACCACAATCCTCAGGTCTCAGCCTCCTGAGCGGCCGGGAGGACAGCGCGAGCCGCGGCGCCGGTTTACCGGGATTTTCATAAGAAGCGCATTAAAAAGACGACCCAGCACTCGTTCTTCCGAGAGGCCGGCCGCTTCCCGGGCCTCGCGCTAACGGACCGGACCTCTGCCTGCCTGCAGGGTCACCGGGCCCAGGCCTGGACGCTCCGGTACGGGCCCCGCCCCACCGGGCCCGGTCTCCGCACCAGAAACAGCGCCGACTTTCTGCGCGCGACCGCCAGGGGGCTCTCGAAGGCCGCGCGAGGCGGGGCCGGGCTCGGGGGCGGGGCCCGCGGGCGCTGGGCGGGGCCGGGATCGGGGTGGGGCCGGGATCCGGGCCCGCAGGCGGGGCCCGCAGGCGCTGGGCGGGGCCGCGGGCGCTGGGCGGGGCCGGGCTCGGGGGCGGGGCCGCGGGCGCTGGGCGGGGCCGCGGGGGCGGGGCCGGGCTCAGGGCCGGGGACGCTGGGCGGGGCCGGGCTCGGGGGCGGGGCCGGGACGCTGGGCGGGGCCGAGCTCGGGGGCGGGGCCGGGACGCTGGGTGGGGCCGGGCTCGGGGGCGGCGCCGCGGGCGCTGGGCGGCGCCGCGCGCTCCCCTGGGTGGCGTCGGAGGCCGCGCGCTCCCGGGAGGCTGCCTGGGGCAGCCGGGTCCGTCCGCCCCGGGGGTGGGAGCGCTGCCTCAGTAGCCGCGCTCTGCGCTTCCACAATTACAAGGAACGGGCCGGGGCCGGAGCGGGACGGGAGCAGCCGCGGGCTGCTCGGTCGCGGGAAAGCTGAGGCCGCGGCGAAGCCCAGCCGACGGCGCCCGGGGCTGCGGGGCGCGTCCGTGGAGATGCGCCGCCCCGGCCGCCCTCCGGGGAGCAGCGACCCCCGGTCCCTAGCTGCTGCCCGGGCAAAGGGCGGGACCGGGAGACCCGGACTCCGGGTCCGACTCCAGCCCGGCCCCCAGGGGACCGCAGGGCGAGCCCGGCGCGGGCCGCGGGGCACGCGGGGCCGGCTGGCCTCCGAAGGACGTCACAGCCACGGCCCCAGGGGCCTCGGCGCCCACGGGGTCTCCGGCGCCTGGCCACGAGGTCTCGTTTCCAAAACACCTGGCCCCGGGCCTCCG